GTCTTCACACAGTTTGTATGATGTGATTGAAGTTCAGCCTGACTGACAGCCTTCGCAGAAGAGCCGCGCTTCATTAGCAGGTGGTGTGTTAATTACCGTGCCTGTGGCCGTGCTGTCTGGGACAGCAGGAGAGCCTTGGGTGGGACAGCAGTGCTCCGAGCCTGGATTCGGGAAGTGGGAAGGCAGCGTGCTGAGGATGGAAAGGGTCATCACTGGGTCCTAGAAATCATAAAGCTGTAGTGATTACAGCTGTATGCAGCACTCCTGAGCCTTGGGGACCAATCTGTGGCACCCAAGAGAACTGGACTCCAGAGTTTTGAGCTGCAGCTTTTGAAATCAGGAATAAGATGATGCTTAGAAGGTTGTTGTGTTCTTTCTGTGATTAGTATTAAATGGTCATACTGGAAATTGTGCTTAGAAGGTTGTGTTCTTTCTGTGATTAGTATTAAATAGTCATACTGGAAATTCACTGTTTGAACTCTTAAGCAAAGCTCCTTCAGAATTAGTGTATGGTTATGACCCAGTACAGCTAATAATGAAACATTTATTATTTTTGTATTATTTATTAAAATCACATAATTTTATAAAACAAGTGATAACCTTGGTAGGGTTTGGAAAATATTCCTCGTGTTGTTTTTAAATACTCAAGCTCACCCAGAGCAGGGGAAGGTTGATGCCAGTGTTTCAACAGAGCAGGCAAGGGATCAGTGAAACGCCTCTGCCAGACTTCATACTCTGTGTATTTGAGACAGTTGTCTGCAGTTCCTTCTCCTTAGAGACTTCTATTCACTGCAGGAAATTATTTGCCAAAATCTTCTTTTGAGAGCAAGGTGAAGAAGTTCGGGCTACTGCTCTTGGTTTATCCAGTGAAGCAGTGTGCTTTCTCTATGCTATTACAATATTTTTGTTTTGTAGTAGTATGTGAAACCCCTTTAAGTCCATTGTGACATTTGAGAGCCACTGTCCCAAAAACTGTCATGTGGGTTGGTCATTGAGTCAGCCTTTCCTCTTTTCTGTAGCTAGAATGCACCTAAAACTGAATGTTAAAGCTCCGAATTCTAGCTGGTCTTCTAGAGTGTGTATAGCAAGTATAATGGCTTTAAGGAACTGCGTGAACAGAATATGCAATTAAACATACCACTTCAGAGCTTGAGATGTTATTTTTCTTAATTTTGCATTGACTCCCCCACATTTAGTCCCTGTTAGTTTTCTCCTGCAGAGCTTTGTGCTCCAGTTACTGTTTTGTAGATTGAGTTCTTATGAAAGAAAGCTAATTCAAAGCTGCATCTGCTTTAAATGGAAGGTGCTAAAAATAAAGTAAAACATCTTTTAAAAGAAGAAGGATAGAGAAGGAATTCTGTTACTAGTGTAAACATAATCTCAAATGCCATAAACTATGCTGTGAGTTTCTCGATAAACTGTGATCAAGTGATCATCAAATCCCTCATCAGGTCTCAGATGAAGCCTGCCAAATGTAATTTTGAGAGCTGCTGTAATCAGTGCCCGTTGCAGTGCCCCAGTAAACAGCCTTTTGTTACCAACAATAATGTCACACAAGGTGGCATTAAAAGCTCAACTCATTTTATGACATGGTCACATCTCCTGTGGCCTTCTGTACGAGATCTGTTAATTGTTCTCAGAAGGAATTATGGCTGAAGTGAGCTTCTGTAGAGGTCACCCATGTGTGCTTGCTTCTGTCTGGGTTGTGAATATGTGCTTCTGTTCTTTGGTTTTCCTTAGAGGTGTTGAGCATGGATTGTCTGACCTGCTGTTCTCATGTTCTTCAAAGGCAGGTTGTTAGGCCTTTTGAATGTTTTGCATCATTCCTATTCTCAAATGTAAAGAAAATAACTCAGTGAGGTTGAGAGAGAAATGTCTGAGGTGGTGTTAATTTTTTATTGGGGGAAAAAAGTATTATTTTATGTATGTTCTTGTTGTTGCCCTCAATTTCTGAGGCTGGTCAGTAGTTTGGAGGCTGACGCTTGTTCATGAACAGTGATGTTAGTATTTCTTTCCAAGGAGGTAGCTGGTAAAGAGGCATCTGTGCGGCAGCCGCTGTACGTCGGGCTGATACCCAGTCCATTACTCGAACCAAAAGGCATTTATCTGTGTACTTGATGATGTGCCAGCTTTCCCAGGCATGGTTTCTAGCAAACAGAGGCTTCAGGGATGAAGTTTGTATTTGGCATATTGTCCTGATGAATGGCAGTGGGAGGATACACTTCCAGCTGTGATGTGAGACATGGCATGAGGTCTAGGCTTCCCTTTCGAAGGAACAGCTTGATGTCCTGGGCATTCAGAGGACTGAGTAAGTTCTTCTTTAAACTTGGACCAAATTTTCTGTTGCATGAAAACTCTTGTTCTTAAAAATAAGAGCGTGGGAGTGAGTTGTGAATATTGGCATTCATGAGCTTTTAAAGGACATAAATGCAGTATGTGTTGTAGGATTTGTTTAGAGAGACATAGAGGCATTTTTGGCCACTTGAGATACACTTTGCATGTTTAAGTGTACTAAGGTGGGAATGAAATTCATCCCATGTACCCTTGGGGATACCTGGTCTCTCACCAGAGATGGAGGAAGAGAAGTTCTGGAGTACCTTCTGTGGAAGGTGCTTGCTGTTTCTCTGGGTCAGCATCTGGGACATTTTTGTCCTGTGTGGCTCTCAGTTCCTCTGTATCAGTCTGCCAAGGACTCGGTCTGAGTCCTGACCTCAGACCTGGCAGTCTGCCAGGGAGGAGACACAGGCAATCTGCTTTTCTGCTCCAGGCTGTCCCTGCATTCACTTGGGGCAGCGTCAGGAGGATTTGTGGGGCTCCAGCTGTGGTACAGCAGCAGCAGCTTGGGTTTAGTGCTCCTGTAAGCTGTTTTCTCAGTTGTTTCTGCAAACAGAAAGGCATTTTAGTCGTTCTCTAACCTTTCACTGTTTCTTATGGTTAAACTAGATGCTTCAGCAGTCTGAAACTCAGTCATATTAGTTCAGATCTGCGTGTGAGGCATCATTCATGATGCCTCTGTGGATTTGCTTTTCCTGTTTAGGTACACACACCCCCATTAATTATTTTAAAAATATATAGCTGTGGAGTAGAAAAGATTCTCTTACTTGTCTGAAGTAATGCAAAAGCAATTTCTCATCAAGGAGTTACAAATGAGAATCTAATAAGGAAAATTTTTCCGTATCTTTTCAGACGCTTGCTTAATACACAACTACAGTACACAAATACAGAGCATAGAGAGTATCAGTATAAAAACAGACTATATGGAATACATGCTGTGTGGTTATAGACCACTTTTTACACCTAACAGTAGCAACACAAGTAAATTTATCTTGGAAGTTAAATGGCTTTCTATTAACAGCCTCATTCCGAGGAAGGGCCTGTACATGCTCCTGACAGCTGCGTTAGAAAGAAGAGCCTGGACCATGCTTTCAGCAAAGGAGTGCTCTCTTGATCTGCAGATGCCAATTGTTTTCCACATGTGAAGTCCTGTTACACAAATGTCCTTTAGCTATTGTGTTGCTCTTCCTGTAATTATTTGTTGAGTTGTGTGCAGTGCTTCTTAGGAAAATGTGGATGTTACCTACATAGGAGGATGGTGTTTATCAGTTTTGATCAAGCAACTTCTGTAACAGGTTTTAAGCTAAATTCCAGACTTGCATGAATTTATTTTTTTTTTAAGAGTACAGTGCTGAAGGTGGGAAAAGGAATGACAGACACTTTAAACTCAGACACTTGTGATCGCTGCTGATACACAAATACCACTATCCTACCAAGATTTTTTTGTATACACCTGCCACGAGAATTGAATTACTTCTGATAGTGTTTTCCTATGGTGCTACTTCTGTGATGTTTTTATTTTACTTTATGTAATTTTTATTATGCAGTAATTGTATTTCAGTTGAAATAATTAAGTAACTTGAAGACAGTTGTTTTTAGAAATATTCTTGCCATAAACTTAGACAAGGGATTGATACCTGTGCTTCCAATGTGATATAAACTTCTTGTTTTAAAACAGATTCTAAAAGGCATTTGAACTCTTGCTTGCATTTCTGAAGGTCTTTCAGCAAGACTGTTGCATTTGTCTCTAGGGCTGGCATAGCTCTGCCCACATGAGGATGAGAAGGGAGTTTCTCAGTTTCAGTATAACACTGCTGCAGCCAGCGGCAGCAGAGAACTGTGTGCTTCCAGTATCTAGTTTACAACGAACGTTCAGATGAGACTTTGGAGAAGTAAAATTTTCTAATTGCACTGTCAGTGTAGTCGCCATGGTGGGGCTGAGGCTGGAGGCTCAGGCTGCCCCAGGGCTCTGGCACTGGAATGTGGGCGCAGTGTACGGTTTTCAGCAAGGGACTGCTGAAACCCTACACGAGGCTTGTGGCTGGGAGAGCTCTCTGGGAGAGCATGGCCAGGGGCCTCCACCAGCCCTTGCCCTCTTGCACCTCGGAAAAGGGGAACGTGGCTGAGAGGTTCCATTTTCCATTTCTAGCTGGATCTGGTTTTCACTTGTAACTTGATCTGTCGCAGTTTGAATGTGGCATATTGAGCTCTGACTTCCCTTGGAGGAATCATCTGTTTTGAGCATAAGGCAGGGGGTTAAGTAGGGTGGAAACACTGGGTACTGTGTGCAGAGGTAGTCTGGGACATACCAAAAATGGGAAAGGTGTCTCTTGGGTTTAGGTATGTTTGGCATTAGGGTGGTGGTCAGCTAAACTATACAGTGTTGACAGCAGGATGGGAGATGTCTTATTGTTGGCCTTACAGTCTCATCTTTGTACAGGAGCAGCTTGATGTAGCCTGAAAATCCATAGGGCTGGAGAATTACTCTTTTGTTTTGGATTCTTGTGTCCTTAATGCAAACCCATAGAAACAGTAGGGCCTTTCAAACGTTAGTTTAACCTGTCTGGACAGCTAATTCACTTAGTAATGCAGGTTGAATTAAGAGAGTTGGTATTTTTATTACGTACCCATTTTCAATGTGTCTGTCTGATTCTTGGATCTCATAGGAATCCGTCAACTGCATTCTACCAAGCGTTCCATTTCAACAAGTTACACGAGTCAAAGACCACCTGGGATAGGTATGGATGCTTGAGTATGGAATGCATACATGCTGAGGTATGCATGAACTGCTTTGCTCTATGCAAGTTTCTCATTGTATTTGTTTGCACACAACTGCTGCCTGTGTTCAGAACTCCATACTGGGATTCTGCAGTTTGAAGAGGTGAAAGCGGTCATGGAAGTGAAGTGTTTGTTCTGAAACATGGAACTAAACTCTTAAAATATGACATGACTTTTTTTCTTCCTCCTTCCATTATGCATGTATCATACATGATGTGTAAGCTCAGAGTTTAATGCTAGTCAGCTCCTAGGCGACCTTCGCCTAAATATTCACAGTTTCCTTTTCCAAAAGAGGAAACTTTTTTGGCATTGAGTCCAGTATCAGAAAACACATCGTGAAAATATTATGTTTAAACGCAATTTTGGCTAAGTTAAGATATTTGTATCTTTAAACCAGGAAAAAAAAAGCTTTCTGGCTTACTTTCATTCTGCTCAAGTAAAGCTGGATGGGGAACATAGGTGAACTGTGACAAGGACAAAGCAAATCTCCAAAGTTAGCATTGAACTCATGGTGAGAAACTGCAGTGAAGTGCCACAGAGTCTTATCTGGCATGGATAGGACTTGAGAGAGGTGCATTACTAATTCATCAGTAGCTGCAAACTGTTTCTCTCCTGTGCTTTAATGATTTTGAGGGATTTTTTTTTGTCAGCATTAAGTCAAAGTCCTGGTGATGATGTGATTTAATGCCTTGTGCTGCTCTGGCTTGTCAAAACTTCTGCTTAACAAGCTGTGTAGAATGCAAATTTTGTTTGGCTGTTGAAGTATTGATAACCATTTCGTCACTGTCCTGGCTGTATTTGACTTGAAAGGCTTCTCAACTTGCACAGCTCAGCTGAATCCTTTAAAGTTTGCTTGGCAACAGTTTGTATAATGCACAGTGATGAAGGTTATAAGTAATGCTAAGTGTTCTGCTCTTTCTTTAAAAATTTTTTTGTGTTGCTGGGGTACTGGCATTAAGCTCAGCTTCAAAGCACATCTTCCTTTTTCAGCAGTAAGTTGGACGAATTTGTGTTTTTGCTTTAAGCTCTGGATTATGCCACTTCCCTGTATTTATGGAACAGAGTTGGTATTTAGGTTTGAAGGACTTTGTTATTTCACTGGAGCGAACTTCAGGGCTTAGAATACACATTTGGTTTGTAGACCAAAAGGTCACTTTGTGGTCTAGCCTTTAGCTGTTTCTCTATTTTCATGCCTCAAAATAAGTCTTAAGATGAGGAAGCTCATTCAAAAAACCCTAAAATCAAATAATGAATTAAGATGGAAGCTTCACAAATCTGATATTTATGTACAATGCCTGAAGCAAATGCTGGAAATGTGGGATATAAAATATTAAATTCAGATAGAAGAATGTAAATGGTTGCCTTTAAAATAACCTTGCATCTTTGCCAGTGAACTCTTTGTGGTAAAAACAAGCATTTGTGACAACATAGAATGCAATTCATCAGGATTGATGCATGTTTTAAACTTATAATCCATTCAAATTCCAAAGTCTTTGACAGGATTTTGCAGGTTTTGCATTTATACCCCAGTTATTGGATTTTAAGTTCCTTCACTGGGTGACTGAAACTGAGAAGCTGTCAGCTGTAAACTTGCAGTGAAAGCTGGTGGAGGGAGGGCCAGGGCCATCAGCGAGCAGTGCAGCTTCTGGTGGGAGCCCTCGCAGGATGGAGCTGGGCAGGACACAGCAGGGGCTGTAACAAGAACATGGTGTGGGGCTTCTTTCTGGCATCTCTGGTTGGGGAAAGAAAATGTGCTGCTGTGAAAACAATAAGCTTGTGTGACTTCCTTAGAATGCCTTTGTTTGCCCATCACAGAATGTGGGGGTTGGCGCACTGCAGAGCACCAGGACCATGAGTCTTCTGGCAGCGAGCTCTTAATTACGTTTTGCAGTTCTTTCAGAAGTACTTGGTGAACCTGAGGGGCTTGACTTAGGAGACTTTGGGATAAACAGAAAATCTTTCTGTGTCATTCTAGTATTTTTTCTAACAAATATGGGTTATTCCCCTGTGAGTAGCTGTCTCTGGGGACCCGCTGAAGTCAGCGGAGGGAGACACATGATGCTGCAGTAGAGAACAAGAGATTGCTGAATTGCTCCAGTGAACAGAGGGGTGTTTTCATGCACAGTGCTCGCATGGCTGTTGCTGAAGGCACAAGTCTCACCTGTTGGTCTTTTCAACTGGTGTGATTTAAGAAGGGGAATAAGAAGTGGCTTCTTGGCATATTCACATGAGGCTGGGTGATTGCTCTTCTGGGCCTGGCTTGTCTTTGCACAGTAAAGATGCCATACCAGCTCTAGGTGGGTCTGCCTGAAGCACAGACATTATTGGTAATCTTGAATTTAAAGTAGTAGGATTTCTGTTTCCATTGCATTTATGTGTGAAGCATTAAACCTTCACAACATAAATTAACTCATGAAGTGTGTGTGGGAACTCCTGAGGTGGTGAATTCACTGCCTCAGGTTGTCACACATTCTCACATGGCTTTGACAAAGAGCAATAATGGAAGTCTGCAGTACTCACACAGATCCTCTTTCCAGGCTGGATAGGTGATTGGATTGCTTGGGGTGCTATCATTATAAAATATCTTTATGGGATGGAGGCTAATTAAATAGACCTTAACTCTTTGAAGACTAGAAAAGATTTCTCTGGATAGGCTGACTAGCTCAACCAGTGGTAAGACAGTAGCTCATAAATGAGTAAACAATGAGGGGAAGGAATAAATGACCACAGGGCTGGAGCTCTGGCCTGCCTGGTGTGGCAGCACTGCCCGGGGTAGTTAGTGGCTGTTATCAAGTGTTCCAGGCACAGCAGTGAGGTGATAAGAGCAGTGTGGCAGCACTGAGAGCACGGTGTGGCAGCACTGCCCTGGGCACCTGCCAGCCCAGGCACATGGCAGTTAGTGGCTGTTATCAAGTGTTCCAGGCACAGCAGTGAGGTGATAAGAGCAGTGTGGCAGCACTGAGAGCAAAGAGTGGCCACTAGCAAGCAATGGGCTCTAGCAGACTCAGGCAGGCGAGCCCTGGCAAGCAATAGCTGCACAGAAGGAACAGCTGTCCATTCAATCTAGAACATCCCAGTCAAATGTGTCCTTACCTCAAACCCTTCCAAGCCCATGTTGGGTGCCAAAAAAGGGCCCCATGCAGCCACTCGCTCAGCTCCCCCTCCTCCCAGAATGGGAAAAGTGAGAGAACTTGTCAGTTGAGATAAAGACAATTTAATAGGTAAAGCAAAAGCCACTGAGATTTTTTTAAACCATCGAAATGAGATTTCTCTGACAGGAGGGGGTTTTGTCTACCTGGTGTTTAAGGTAGGAAAACACTGGGTTTACTGTCTGTGTCTGGGAATGACAAACTGTGCTTAGGGCATCTTTGATGTTTTTGCTGACTGTAAATTTTGCAGTGTACCTTGTGGCCTTCAGTGTGAACTGGATGTACCAATATAACATCTTTTTGGGTAGAGCCTTCATGGGCATGACCTTAACTGGGAGCTCCAAGTCAAGATGAAGTGTGCTGTGTTCAGTGTATCTGCTTGACACTTCATGGGCTGCAGAAGCTCAGTGTGGGATGGGGGTTTAACTGTTAAAACAAGTATTACATGCCAAATGCACCCCTTCATCTGCCCTATACTTGATGTGGATTTTTTTGCAGTTTTGACAATAACTGTCAGACTTCTGTAACTCTTGGAGCAATCAGCAATTGGTCTTTTTTACAAGAGCTAAATGGTGCCTTTCCTCTTCTAATTCCAGGATTTGCCAGTTGAGGCATTGGCTCTACAGTGGATGGTGCACTCACAGAATGTGTCAGACTCTCTCCATTCAGTCATCCAAAAAGACTTGTTTAAGGGATATTTTGGGTTTCTTCCTGGCCTTTTCATAAGGACTGGAATGTATTTATAAATGTCATTCTGCAGCCATGGGATAAAATATTTTTGTGCAAACTGGAATTTGATGTCAAGCATTTAGGATTTGAGAAAAATATACAAAATTTTAAGATTTGGCAGCACATTTGGAGTTTCCCATGAGAGCAGCTGTCACTGGAGGGCTCTGCTCATGAATGTCCCACAGGAGCTGCTTGGTGTTGGGAGCACTGTCAGATGAATAAAGAACAAAATCATGTGGGAATTGTGCTACCGTAACATCTAATTCCCATCTGCTTTTAGAAAGTGACATGAACTATAGTCAGCTGATTTTATCCTGATGGCAAACGGGGGCACCCTGTGTCAGTGTGGAGCTTCTCCTGGGTGGGTGGGTGAGTAGGGGTCTGCGTGGTGCCAGCCTCTGCCTGCTGAAGCTGGGACCCAGGATGTGTACAGGGAGCAGGGCTGGAATCCAGACTCAGCATCTTAGTCTTAGCACAGCTGCTCTGGGGCTGAGGGCAGCAAGAACGTTACGAAGTGTATAAAGCTGCCTAGAGCCTTCAGCACTGTTGGTGTCATGTCAGGTGAGGGGTGTGTGGTAAAGCAGTGGCTCCTTCCAGTCACTCTGCAGGGAGGGACAGCTCCTACACCCAACAGGCAGAGGGGAGCTCAGAGCACAAGGTACTCACAGGAAAGGTGCCTCTGCAGCACGTCACGCAGGTCAGCTCTTTGGGAGGCTGAGGGAAGGCTTGAATGCCTTAGAGTCATGTAGTGGGATTTGTTGTTTTAAATAATCACACTACAAAGTAGCTGAAACAGGACTAGAAGAACTAATTTCTGATCTCAAGTTTGACTAGATGGGTATTGACGGAAGTTGTACACTTGTGGTGCAGAGATGGGGAAGTAGATCCCACTGCCAAGTGTGCTGTTTGCTTTAATTGTCCTCTTGTTGTTACTTCTTCAGAGCTGCCTCATCTGACTTGTAGAGTGGTATCCATGAAGGACTGTGAGAGGACATGGATCTTGGGGATTTTGTGGTTCATGAACACGGATACTTCTGGCAGAGTCAGATGAGTCTGATATATGTTAACTCGACATAGAAAGGCATACTTCCCTTGGCATGAGTTATAAATAGCTTTTATTCTGAGGAGTTTACCATAGATAGGTAGAAAAAGAGGCTTAGAAGACAGTAAGAGATTGGAACAATTTCCTTCTGAAATGCATATTCAGTGTTTTCGATTTGGGTTTCAAGATTGGTTCGGTAGAAATAGAGGCTGTTACTCCCCCGGTCTGCAAACCTGGTGCCCTTAGTGCTGACAGTTCTGTGGGAGCCCTTAAAAAACTTCTCTGGCCAGTATCGCTCTTCAGGAGCTAAGCCATGTTTCACATCTGTGACAAGTACTGCACATTGCCGTCCTCTTTGTAAAAAGCCTTAAGTGATTTTTTTCTTAACACTTGGATTTGGTGAGTTGCACAATTCCAGAGAGGCGAGTTTTCCAGCATGACTGCAACCCTTGCATTTTCCCCATGCTAGCTCTACTAGACGTGGCTGCACACTGCTGATAGCCATGTCCGTGGCTGGGAGTGTTATCAGCAGCACTCACTGGTGGGCTGGCACAGCCCAGGAGCTACTGTGTGTGTCAGAGCGGGCTGGGTGGGAAATGGGACCCCTGAGACCCGGGGTGGGAGCTGGCTGCAGCCCTGTGTGCCCTGGGGAGAGCCACGCTCCTCTCTGAACGGAGAAACCAGAGTCTGGGGGGCAACAGGACACCCCCGGCCTGCCAAAATCCCAACTCCAGAGCTGCGAGGGACTGGCTGGTGGGACTTGGAAACAGACCCTGGCTATTAAATTGGAAACAGACCCTGACGGCTGCATTTCCGTCACGCAGGATCCAGAGATCCCAGTTGGGGATCCCGTTGGCACAGTAAGTAACATCCTCACAGTGCACCCAGGTGTGCTGGTGGATGTCCTGCACCAGTGTGCCTGTGGAACAAGCCTGGCCCTGGCTGTGACCCCCGGCTGTGTGTTGATCAGCTGTCAGACAGACCCAGGGAGAGCTGACTGGGAGCCAGTGGCCGCAGGCTCAGGGCTCTGGTCATGCCTCGCCCTCCTGCTGGGTGCTGCCACAGGCTGCAGGGGCTGTGCTGCACCAGGAGCTCCTTACCTGGAGCCTGGACTCAAGTGAGTCCAGAGAACAGGTATTAAAACAGGATTTCTTCTTCATTGCTTTATAAAAACAGTTTGGGAGAAATAATGCTAGTGGTAAGAATCCGATTAATATGCCATGAATTCTTGTTTCCCTCAGTGAAGCAAGCTGGTAAATGAGGCCAGGAATCAAAGCAGTTGATTCAGTGTTTATTCTAATGCATTTTTATGGTTATGGGTGTCATAAGCCCAGTATGAGAAGGTATAAACTGAAGGAGCAGTGTTTCTTGTGGGTCACTGGGCATCTGGGTGGGGTGGGGGGGTGGGGGGGGCATGGGACAGCCCCCTGTCAGTGTATACTGGATTCTTGACTCTAAGAATCCAGTGATGCTTCAGTCTTCCAGTGACAGCATGATCCAGGAGTCCTGCGGGTGCAGCTTTTACCTGAGTGATACAATAACACTCACAGAGTTTTCTCATTGTATTTACAGTGCGTCTGGTGCAAGTGTTGTTGCCATTGACAACAAAATAGAACAGGCAATGGTAAGTAAAATATAAGTTATTTCTAATAGGATTAATGTGGTTCATTACTGAACATAAGTTTCCTGCTGTATTTTGTTTCTGTGAGTCTGTGATATCCCTACAGGTGGGTCAGACTGAGAGCATCAATTGAAAAAAAGATTTTCTGTATCATCTATGAATGGCCACACACCATTATTGCTTTTAGTGTTGGCCCAGAAGTGTTTTTCAGTTAATTTTCTTACAAATTGCTGGGAACAAGATGAGTGAACTTGAAGGAGTGCTGAAAATAGAGCACATATTTCAGTCTGTTACTCCAGCCAAGTTCATTACTAGTTTTTCTAAGGGTCAGGTATGCCATTCTTAACATGCTGCTCAGCCTCAGTTAGAGCTGTTGGATTTTTCTTCTGATGATGTAAAAGCTTTCTTGTTGATTTGATTCTCACACACCTCAGTGACTGTGTACCACGGATCCACACCAGGTCACAGCATCAGAACTGGTGCTTTCCTTCTGGGCAGCTGGGGCGTCATTCTTCTCCTTGGCTTCCACCTAACTGAAGTGGCTGGAGTGCTGGAGACAAAGCTTTTCATATCAGGCCCTCTGCACATAAGGGCTGGGCTGTTTGTGCTCAAGGGCTGATTTATTCATAAATTCTTGGTGATGAGTGCTTTTTTTCCCAGGCTTACTGCAGTGCAAGCAGTAACAGCAAGTTCTGGGGCTGGGGTGAAGGAAGCTTGTTCTTTCCCGTGGTGCAACTGTCCACTTGTTCTTTGCAGGATCTAGTGAAAAGCCATTTGATGTACGCAGTGAGAGAAGAAGTGGAAGTTCTGAAGGAACAAATAAAAGAATTAGTTGAAAGAAACTCTTTACTTGAACGAGAAAATGCACTGTTGAAATCCCTTTCCAACAGCGATCAGCTGTCGCAGCTCTCAAGCCAGCAGGCCGCCAGCAGCGGCTCGCAGGCGCAGCCGCCGCAGCCCAACGTCTCCTCGGCGTGAGCCGGCCCGTCCTGTGCCGCTGGCTCCCGGCCCAGGGCCAGCAGCCTGCTTCTCCTGTGTGTTTGGCCTTTTCAGTATTAGACAATCACCCCTGCAGCCCGGGTCCTGCCCCGGCGCCGCGAGCCAGCTCGCTCACAGCTTGGGTGGCTCTCCGAGGTTCCCACGGCTCCGGCTTGCTTTGAGCCTTGCTGTCTGCTAAGGAGCAGCAATTCCTCTTCAGAGCCACTGTTCTTTCCATATAAGTAACATTTGCCTATGTTAGTTTCATTTATTTGTTTTATTTATTACAGGGCTGCTATTTTCATAATGTACATGAACAATGTCACAGAACTTTTGAATTTTTTTTTTTTTAAATAAACGTCTGTATGGGTAAAATGATAGATGGGATTGCGTTAATAGATACAATGTCTAGGCAATAATTGAACAAAGAATCCTGGCGTATTTCTAACACTAATGGCAATTGACCTTTGGTATTTATTTACGGTAGTAAAGATCCAGCTTGAATGTAAATTTTGTATAGAGTGTAAGTATGAAGACCATAGTGCATCTGTACAGGTAGTCACCAGTCCTTGTGATATAATAAATAAGTGATGGGCTATTTTGATGAAGAAAACTTTGCTCATTTCTGTTTCTACTTTTTAATAGAGAGAAGGGGGCCATGATTCCTCTGCTTTTTGACATTTCGTTTTTGGTTTGGTTTTTTGGGTGGGAATAAAAAGCTGTGAAATTGTTCAACCTACTTTGTAACCAAAGAAGCAAAGCTGTATAATTGAGTTGGTTGTTGGTTTTTTGTTTTGTTGTTTTGTTTGTTTTTTTTTTTTTATTTTATAATGCACATTCTTTATGTATTTTTTATTTAGTGTTTTCTCATTCACAACTTTCTTTGCTGTCTCGCATGATCTGCATGACCTGTAATCTTTGAACCACTTCCGTACCTCATGTTTTTATCCAGCACTCTTAGTGTAATATGTACTAGTCTGTGAACAATGTCAATAAAGAGAAAGAACAGCTGGTGTTGGTGGAGCTAAGCTAGTGTGCTAGGCACTAGTTGTTAAAACAAATAAATGAAGTGAGCCATCTTTTGTTCATTTAAAATGGTGTTTTGAATTTCGTATGCAGAAAACGTTTTGTTACATTGCAGATTTAATGTATTTAATAAATGCAACATGCAGATTAAATGCAGTGTATACTGAGTATTTAAATTAAAAATGTACATTTCATAAATACAGTTTCAAAAAAGACCATCATTTGTGTAAACTAATGCAGTGTGTCAAATTGATGTACAAATATATATATATATTTTAACACATTTTCTGAAATTAAACCAGTTTTGTTGAATTTTTTGGCTGTAGGTGTTGTTGCAGTATAATTAAATTCCGTAGCTCTTTTCTGAACAAAATGAAGAAATGCAGTGTCAGCGAGGCAGTAACACACCAGTGCCAGGGTTACCACTTCTCCTGCAGCAGGCTGGTTTCTTCTCTTCTAGGAGAAGCATCTTCTGATGCTGTCGGTGGCTGCCTTAGGGGTTTGGGTTTGCACTGATCGCTCTAAATAAACACCTGGGCCTGCTGAGTCACTGCTGTGAATGTCTGCTTCAGTAGCAGCTCTAACTCTGCTCAGGTTTATGTCTAAGGTACAACACAACAAACAGTGGAAACTGCAGGTTTTGGTGGGTGCAGGTCTCAAAGAAGTGTCCATGCCCTGGAAACCGAGAGGCATCTCCTCCTCCTGGTAAGCATCAGTTCAGCACAGTTCAAACAAACCCTGTGTGGTGTGCTTGTTAAAAATTCTTGCTAAAGTAACACCAAAATGATCTTTCCTTTAGGTGTGGATTGGTGTTTTCTGCCTGCTGCACGCCTGTGCTGAGAGCATTGCTTGGGAGACTTGAGTGCACACAGATTAGAAAGCAAAGTATTCCAGCAGCTATGTGTGTTTCCTCTGCAGTGTGATCAGTGGTTCACTCCAGCTGCACACTGAGGATGATGCTGGTGAAGTAAGAAAAAAAGGATAAATTGGGGATTCCTGGGAACAAGAGTCCCTCAGGTGAGTAGTTGATTAAAACTTCTCGGAGGATACTCTGTACCCGTCAGTTCACTTTTGAGTGGAACAGAACAGAGACAACTTTGTGAACCTGAACTTTGTGAACCTGACTCGGGGTCACTGTTTTTGTGCTGGGAGCACAGGGAGCAGCTCTGCTCCCCTCGGAATGCCTGTTCCCCTGTGCGTGAGCTGTGGGGCCGTGGTGGGCACATCCCTCACACCGGGGAGCTGCGGAGGCGCTTCCTCCGAAACCAAGAGGCATTTAGGAAATCTGAAAAAGGGGATGAAACAAAGATTGAACTGCTCCTCTTAGAAAGCCTTTGCTGTGCTCTGCTCCTGTCAGGTTTGCTCCGGGGCTTTGTGTTTCGTTTTTGCGCAGAGATAAGCTGTATTCAGCCCTGGACAGCATCTCGGCTTGGGAGAGCCCTGTGAACTGGCAGAGAGAGTGTGGGAATGCTGCGGGCTCTTCTCCAGGGGCTGCCTGAGGAAAAGGAGCAGCAGTTCTCCCAGTGAGACCGCTGTGGTGTCAGTGGGGCGCGGCTGCCCACGGCAGAGCCTCGGCGGCGGGTGCTGGCAGCCCGGCTGGGCAGCGCTGCCGTGCCCCGGCCTTGTCCCGCCTGGCGCGGCCCCTGCCGCCGTCCCGGCACGCTGGGTCTGCCGTGGCAGCTCTAACGCGTGTCCGTGACATGGCTCCATTGTTCCATATAGCTCTGGTATACAGAGAAAGGATGCAGCTGCTGCGTTCAGGGCAGCGTGTGCTTTACAGCACGGCCCGGGAGCGCTGCAGCCGCGGTGTCACGGAACCGCCTGAACGCAGTGAAGCCGGGCAGAGGTGGCTCCGAGTTGGGCCCGGCCTCAGACCGGACGTGGCAGAAGATGCGGGGAAAAGCCACGGAAACAGTGGAGGATGCGGAGGAAATGCTTACTGAGGAGAGCTTCAAGGCCGGGCCCTGGCTCAGAGGGGAGCGCGGGCAAGAGGCTGCACAGCCGTGAGGCGGCTCTGGAGCAGGTGCCAGGTGAGGTGAGCACGGAGCGGCACCGACCCTTCCCCGGACCTTCCCCGGACCTTCCCCCGGCGCGGCGGGCCCGCCCGTGCCGCACCGGGACCTGCGGGGGCCGCGGGGCGGCGCTGTGGAGCGGGGCGGGGCTGTCCCGCACCGCCCCCGCCCGGTCCCGTTCCCATTCCTGTTCCCGTTCTCATTCCCATTCCTGTTCCCGTTCCCATTCGTGTTCCCGTTCCCATTCCCGTTCTCGTTCCCGCTCCCGGGCCGTCTCCGCAGCCCAGGATCCGCTGCCTCGGACCGGGTCCCGTCGCTCGGGCCCTCGCCGCCCCGTGTCCCGGCTGCCGCCGGGGTTGTTCCCGCTTCCAGCGCCGGTTCCTGGAGAAGGCGGCTGCTGCGGCTGCCGGTTCCGCTCGGTGCCGTGCGCGGGTGGGCGGGACGCGGGGCCCCTTGTGCGGCTCCGGAGCCGTGAGCGGCCTGGCGGGGCTGCAGGCGCCTTGGGAGGGAAACCGTGTGCCCCGCCGGGTGCGCAGTCCTGCAGCCAGCCTTGGGAGGGCTTCGCAGGAGGAAAAAAATAAATAAAAATTGAGATCCAAGCGTTGCGGGTGGTTAATGACGTCACCTGAGGAAGCCGACACGCGCGGCTGTGGCACGGGTGCGTCAGAACGTGTCAGGGCCAGGGCCTGGAAATGCTGCATCGCGAGGGGAAATAAACGGGTATTGCTCCGATGGGTTTCGAAAAGAAACGAGTGCGGTGTTCTGCAGCTTTTGTTCTTGGATGCGTGGAGCCAGAGCACGGCTGGGGCCAGAGAGCCCCTCCGGAGATGCCCCCGCCAGCCCAGCTGTGACACTGAGGGCACAGCGCTGCGCACCTCTGTGGCACCAAAACAAGAATTTACCGAACTTCAAAGAACCAACTTGAACAAACCACGCTGACCATTCCCACAGCCCGTGACTCCTGCAGCCAGCTGGAGCTGGCCAGACCCCTGGGGCCGCTGTGGCATTCCCGGGGAGCAGAGGCAGCAGGTGATGGGAAGGCACCTGCTGAGCCCTCGGGGGGTGGCCGGGCCCCAGAGGGAAGGGAGCGGTCGCTGGGTGCAGCCAGAGCCTTGGCAGCCCAGCTCAGGCCCCGTGGCCCAGCCTGGCCCAGCACCCGGCCGGGCACGGAGGCTCCTGTCAGGGAAAAGCCAATTAATCCCTGCCTGTGTGAATGGCTGAGTTTCAAGAGCCAGCAGAGCCCTGCTTTGCCCACATCACAGTGAACACAGCTTGCATTTGAAAAGACCTTTATTTAAAATCAGCGATGATACAGGCTTCCCCTGCCACAGCACAGTGTCCCAGCACAAGGTCCCCGTGCCCTGGGCAGCCCCAGCTCACACCAGTCCCAGGGATTCCATATGGAAATACAACATGTACAGAAGATCTGCTCCTTCACAGCTAACAGGCAATGCATTAACCTCAACCCATTTCATTTTGTTTTATTTCTAATGTAACCAGACTTAAAATTTGTCTTCTAAGAAACCCGGAGAAAAGAAATCTTCCTTTAGCAACTGTGTGCACCAGCAGAGCAATTCCCACCACCTTTGTCAGCACGCAGACAGCAGAGCCAGGAGCCAGGGCCATCAGCAGGGAAATATGATCAATAGCAGCATTTTCCACGTGATCTCAAGGTACGGTCGTCTACAGAAGAAGGAACTGTGATCACCAGTAGGGAAGCAGTTAAGTACTGAATCCATCGTTAAAAGAAATCGAGTTGAAGGCAGGTTTTACTTTAAATAGGATTAAATATATATTGCAAGACACACCACACTCTGCAGGGGCTGCACATACAGAAGCAGAACTGTGGGCAGGGAGGCGGCGCGTCCCCCCCCACCCCGCACCCAATATTCCCACACAACATTGTCAAATTTAAAACCAATCACCACTGGTTGAAAGTCGTCCAAGAAGTATTTACAGCGCGGGCACGGCCAGGAGAGCCGCGGAGCTGCAGCACGGCTCCCGCCGGAGCAGCTCCGCACGCCCCCGGCACAGACAAGCGTTTGGCGTGGATCAGGACAAAGGCAGAGGCGGCGCGGGCACTGCCACATGCTGCACAGGCGGGCTCCAGCCTCTACAGGAATGCTGGCTTCCAGCGTCAGATGCAGCCATTCCCAGCTGTACAGGAGGGTGACGCCGGTCGGGGAGCGGTGCTTACAAGAGATGCCAGTTCCTACGGACCTACGTCGCGTTACAGCTCCACGTATTACAGAGAGCAGGCCGGATCTTCAGCGAATAAGTAGGTCCACGATTGTAGATCAACAACAGACTTTTATTGCTTTATACATGTGGTGCTGTTCAAGGCACTGTGGCACGGGCTAGAAAACTCGGAATGACTCGTGAAGGGACCTGGAATGCGAGACGGCCGGTGCCGCTCCTCGGCAGCAGCCGCGGCGGCCGGGGCCGGCGGGCATGGCCCACCCCGGCCCCTCACATGCCCATCCGGATGCTCTGGATGATCTGGAAGATGGCTGCAAGAGAGCGAGAGGGGAGCGCTCGCCGGGCAGCGCCGGCAGCGAGATCGGGGGCCCCGAGCGCCGCCGGAGCCCGGAGGGACAGCGCCGGGCCGGGGACAGCGGGGGGACCCGGGGGGACAACGAGGGGACCCGGGGGGACAGTGTGACAGCCCCGAGGGACAGCGCCGGGCCGGGGACAGCGGGGGGACCCGGAGGGGCAGTGCCCGGCCCGGGGGGACAGTGTGACAGCCCCGAGGGACAGTGCCCGGCCCTGAGGGGCAGTGCCCGGTCCGGAGGGACAGTGTGACAGCCCAGAAGGGCAGTGCTCGGTCCGGAGGGGCAGTGCCCGGCCCCGGGGTTCAGTGCCCGGCCCCGGGGTACAGTGCCCGGCCCGGAGGGGCAGTGCCCGGCCCGGAGCCACCGCCGGGGCCGGCCGCCCGCGCGCGGCCGCTCACCTGATCCGCAGACCACGAAAATGAAGAGAGCCAACAGCCAGGGCCCGACCGACGCCTTCTCCTCCGGGGCCGTTCTCTGCGAGCACAGCACGGCCGTCAGCGCAGCGCGGCCCGGCCCCGCCACCCCCGCCCGTGCCCGCCCGGCCCGGCCCGGCCCCGCGCACCGAGGTCTTGGCGACGTTGCCTCGCTGGGTGATGTTCTTGCTGTGCTTCTCGTTGGCCATGCGGATGCGCTGCTTGGCCACCATGTCCGCGCTCGGCCCGGTCCGGTCCGGCCCGGCCGCTGCCGCGTCAGCACCGCCGCCAACCCGCGCGCGCGCCCCGGGCCCCGCCCCGCCCGGTAACGTGGCGCGCGCTGCGGCCGCTGCGCCGCCGCCGCCCCGGAACCGGAAACACCGCTCCGCCCGCGCCCCAAGATGGCGCCGCCCACGCCGCTGCTCGCAGGTGCGTCGAGCCCGGGGCTGGAGCGCGGCAGATGGCTGCGAAGTTGGGGTGGGGTGGCCCGGGGCCCCTCCGCTGCTCCTCCGGCGTCCGCCGCGCGTCCCGTCCCCAGCGTGCGCTGCCGCGGCGTGGCCAAGTCCGGCCCCGGTCGTGGAGTTCCTGACGGTGCCGGCCCCGGCGCTGCTCAGGGCTCGCTCGGCCCGGGGCCGGGGCGAGCAGCGGCACCCCGGAGGAGGCCCCGGTGGCGCCTCCGCCCGAGCAGCCGCCCCGCCGCCGGCCTCCCCCGCGGGGCCCCGTGCCGCGGATTCGTTCTTCTGCCGCGGATGATTCACTCGCGGGGACCCGCGGCCGTGGGCAGCTGCCCTGTCCCGGCCCTGTCCCTGCCCTGTCCCTTGCCGTGTCCCTTCCCTGTCCCTGCCGTGCCCCTGGCCCTGTCCCTGCCGTGTCCCTGCCGTGTCCCTTCCCGATCCCTGCCCTGTCCCTTCCCGATCCCTGCCCTATCCCTTCCCTGTCCCTTCCCGGTCCCTGCCCTGTCCCTGTCGTGTCCCTGCCCGGTCCCTTCCCTGTCCCTGCCCTGTCCCTTCCCGGTCCCTTCCCGGTCCCTGCCGTGCCTGCTGCGCTCCGCGGGCTTTGCGCCGCAGCTCGGGAAGCTCTTCTCGAAAGTCCTGTTCCTTTCGGTGTCTCGTTGTTTAAACTGCCCCTAGCATAAGGGATGCGTGTTTTCCCTTTCTGTATTTGTGATCTTCAAACCCGAGCCTGTTTCCTTCCCCTCACTCGGGTCTGGGGGGGGCTGCAGTTGTTCAGGTGGGTTTTGGGCTGCCCACTCTGCTGTAAGTCTGGATCTTGGTGGGGAGTGTGGCAAGAGAGCTGTGCAGCTCCTGGGTTAAGGTGTGTTAAAGGCTCCCTCAGGGCCTCTGGGGGCTGTGGTGTGCATGAACCCTGTGAAATTGCGTTTAGGCCCGAGAGGAGCTGTTGTGCTGTGAGGCTGTGGCTGCCCACCCTGGGCACGGTCCTGCAGAGCCATGGCAGCTCCAGGGGCGCGTGCCCTTGTGCCTTGGAATTTCCTTACAGCAGTTTGGGGGGGACTGGGCGTGTCTCGGGGCTCACACGTGAGAGGATCCTCAGCTTTGCTGCGTGTGAAACGAGCTGTTTGTTTCCTGTTGCAGTCAGAGGCTCCGAGGGGCTGTACATGGTGAATGGGCCCCCCAGCTTCACCGAGAGCGCGGCGTTCCAAAGGTACTGCTGTCCCTGGCTCCAAGGAAACTGCTTCCTGAAAACCGAGCCTAGGCTCTGGGCTTGAAAGCTGTGTGCAGATCAGTGAGTTCTGAACACTGACGGCTTTGCACTTGCCTGAGCTCCCCTGCCAGGTGGCAGTCCCTGGGCAGGGGTAGCAGGGACTCTGTGGTGACACTGGGCTCCTAGCACAGCAGGAAAGGCCTTGTGTTCATTTTTGTTGAGAAAACCTTGACTCTGGTGCTGCTGGGTACTCATGTACATTTCTTGTTTCTTTAGGGATTCTGGAAAAAATTGCAAAGCTGTTGCATTTAGCAAGGATGGCTCCCTCTTTGCCTGGTGCAATGGACAGAAGTGGGTGCATTTTATTATCTTAATGTTTAGCTTGTATGAAATAAATGGAATCAGTTATGCCTCATTTACTCTTGTCTGTGTAAAGCTGATTGCTGTTAATGCAGGTGTTTGCATGTACACTTGAAATGGAGTTTATCAGATGAAGTGTTTTGTGTTCTTGATGCACCCATGATGCATCCACTCCCATGTAGTCTGGATATGCTTTCTTTGGTTGTTTTTTTATTCATGGCTCCTGGTACCTGGTTTCTGGGATTCTGGGATTAATCTATTAGCAGAGTCCATAGAAAATAATGAGTCTATACACCTTGTGAATGTTACAAGGTTCCTTTTTTATAGATCAGGTGCATTGTGGAGCTCACTCTCACTTTTAGAGCTTATGTGTTGCAGACAAAAATATGTGTTGTGTTTTGACCAGTGGTTTCTGTCATGCTTGGGTGTCTGGTTTTAAAATGTGCTCTTGGAAAAATTTAGTAAAAACGAAAGGGGGGAGAAAGCTCTTCCAATTTTGTTACATTGGCCAAATTTGGAGTAGATCTAGAAGAGTCAAATGCTTGAACAATTCTCTCAGTGTCAATTAACTATTGTAAGCATGTTTTATTGAAATAGCATCTTTTGGTTCCAGGGTCAATGTGGTTAATGTCACCAGAGCTGAGTTACTGCATTCCTTTGATCTCCCAAAGACAGTTTGTCTTGAATTCTCGCCAAAGAATAATGTTCTGGCAACGTGGCAGGCCTATGCAAGTGAGTATTGTGCCAGCTGGGGAAGCTTTGTGCCAGCTGGGAGGCTTTGTGCAGCTCTTTGCCCACGGCTGTGGCCTCTGCAGTGCATGTATTGGCTAAAAGAGCAGTGGAGAAGGGTGCAGTCAGTCAGTCAGTCAGTGTTTCCTGAGCTTTGGGAAGGGGTGCTGTGTGCCCTGCAGGCAGCTTGTGTTCTTGGGTATGCTGTCCTGGAGGAGTTGTGTCCTGCCCAGGGGCCCATGGCTGGAGTGTTCTCCATGTCCAAAGCTTTATTTCCTCCCCTGGGGTTTTGGAGTTCCTGGTTCTGGGAGCCACAGACAGTGCAAATGCTGCCTCGGGAGGGGAGAGCTGGGCAAGCTGGGCCTTGGGAGCTGGCCAGGCTCTGGGGAGGCTGGGAACTGGGACAGGCTGTAGGATAAGAGAAGGCAGCACTAGCTGTGAGCTGTTCTGGGGTGCTGTAAATCACTGACAGCAGCAGGCAGGCTGTGCTAGCCAGGGTAAGGAGGAGAGCACACACAGCTTAGAAGCAGCAGAACCATTTTGCATGGCTTGCAGAGAGAGCTGTGACTGTGCTGGAATGGGCAAAATCACCTCATTCCTGTGAGAGCAAAACACTGGAGTGGAGAGCATGCCTCCATTGTTTGCTGTGAGGGGGTTTTGGTTTGGAATAAAAAGCTGTGCAGGTGTTGGTTGCAGCCTTGCAGTGGGGAGCAGAAACCCTACAGCTCTGAATGTGAGTTCTTCCTGCAGACAGACTGAGGCTGATAGGTGCAGCAATCAGCATTCCTGGGTTTGCTCCCTCAGGGGAAGAAGTTGCATGTCCATGCAGAACCATGAGTGGGATGTTGGGCTGAAGCAGATTTGAGCCTCACATACCACTGTGTTTTTTTGCAGCTGCTAAGGATGGCACAGCAGGGGTGCCCAACCTGCAGCTCCATGATCTGAAAACTGGAAAATGCTTGAAGTCTTTTGTGCAGAAGAAGATGCAGAACTGGTAAATAAGCCTTCCAGATGCTAATTGTTTACAAAGAAATAGAATTTTCAAAATCTGATCCAGGTAAATGGAGCTGTTAGTGTGGTGTTGGCTTTCAAAGCAGTGCCTGCTGCTAACTGAAGGCAGAGTCTGTGCCTGTGAGTGTCTGTGTAGTTCACTGTAAATTCACTCTCACTTTGCACCACAGAGGAAAGCTGAGCTGACAATAACTAAGTCCACTTGTATATTTTTGCTATGCAGATGTCATTTTCCACATTAAATGTATCATGTTTGAACTTACTGGGCTCACAATAGAGGGGGAAAACAATCCTGGAGTGCTAATGATGAGCATCATTTCATGTTTCTGCCTTTTCCCTTAATGTGCAGGTGTCCTTGCTGGGCAGATGATGAAAGCATTTGTGCCAGAAATGTGAACAATGAAGTGCACTTCTTTGAAAACAACAACTTCAGTATGCGAGTATTTCTCTACATTTCATTCCTTCTATAAAGGCTGCTTCTTTTGAGGGGTGGTTTTTCTTTTGTTTCTTCATTTGCTTTCCTTTTATTTTAAATACTGCCTGCCTACATTCTATTTCAGTTTGGAATTCAGAATCATTATTCTTTAATGAAGTGTGTTTTCACTTTCTTATTTATCTTTTCACTGACTGATGTGATATGAAATGCATCTGATCCTCAGTTTAACAGGCCTGTTACTCATTTAATGAGATCCAGGAAATTGTTTTGTAGAAAACATGATCTGCAATTAGTTCCTTGGGTTGTGCATATTCTGTCAATAGACTGCTAAAAATGGCTCATTAGAAAATAGATGGCAAAAATGAAATAGTGAAGCCTGAAGATTTTTACTGTTGGTGGTAGAATATTTGGAGTCAGTAGATGTTGAAAAGGGAAAGGGGAAGAAAAAAGCAGAAAGATAAAAATTATTTAGAACAAAAATGTAAAGGAATGAAGGCAAACTGAGGGTAGAACAGCAGCATGTGGTTTTAGTTTTGCATTCTTTGTTTTGTTTTAAATATAAAGTTGATAGAAGAGTTAGGGCTATGAGAGATTGAGTTGCCTGAGAATTAGCCCTGCTGGTGTTAACCAAGCTGTGGGAAGCATGGAATGTCAGCCTGGGCAGGAGGGCTGCTGGCAGTGCACATTCCTGGCTGCAGTGCAGCCCTGGGGTGGTGCTGTTCCCATCAGCTGTTTGGGAAGGGGCAGTGCTGAGCTGAGCAGGCCTGTTGGGAAGAGTTATCCCACGGAGGTGTGAGGGGAGAGCCCCTGCCTCTGTGTGCCACCTGAATGTGGCTGAAGCCAGCACAGATAAGGTGAAGAATATCAGCTTCAAACACAGGCTGCCTTCACCTTGGGTTCAGAGGCTTCCTTTGCTTTTTGAACTTCCAAATACTAAGTGCTGGGTTTCAGGCATAGGCTTGATTCAAGTTGGTTTTGCAGGAGAAATGCTGTGGTGAAATGGGAAAATAATGGTTGTTTGCCTAGACAAAGAGATCCTTTGTGATTGTCTCTGCTGGTCTGTGCTATCCAGGATACAGCCCCACAGAAGGATGTGGTTAGGACATCCAGGTAACGTGGTGTGTCATTAACATCAGACACCTGTGGCCTTTTCCTTGGCAGATACCATTGCAAACAAGCTGCATTTGCAGAAGGTCAGTGACTTCGTGTTGTCCCCAGGAGCGCAGCCAACCAAGGTACTTCTGATCCATCTTCCATTCTTTTTTTTGGTTTTCTTAAAAAAAAACCAAAACGCTGTTATTTTAGTACAATGTAACTATTTTAGTAACTATGCCCTGTGCCACCAAGGCTTTAACCTGCAGTGAAATCTCTGGCTGTTCCAGGTTGCTGTTTATGTCCCAGGCAGCAAAGGTGCTCCGTCCTTTGTCAGGCTCTACCAGTACCCCAATTTTGGGGGCCCACAGTCAGCACTGGCCAACAAAAGCTTCTTTAAGGCTGACAAGGTGACAATGCTGTGGAACAAAAAAGGTACAGCAGCTGTGTACTGAGACGTTTATATTGTGCTCATTTTGGATTGACTTACTGTGTTTACTGTGTGGGGTTTGTGTTTAATTTGCATATGTTGATAAATCCTGAGGGCAGCCATTAATGCTTTGCTGAGGTGCATTTCTGCACACTTCTGCTCAGCACTTATCCTGTGACTTTCATCATTTTTTGTGCTGTACTTGAAAATATTCTATACATGCTGGTAAATTTTTCAGTTGAATGACAAATTCCTATATAATTTTGCATTCTGTGTTAGTAATATAATTGGATTGTAAACATAACAACAGTTCATGTGAGGATATGATCTTAATCTGTAGAATTATCTGTATGCATACATATGATAACTGGGCTGAGCTGAGAGGCCTCTGTGCTTTGTTGCTGTTAGCAATGAGCTGTTTCAGAATGATTTTGTACAAATCATGTTACTTCAACACACATCGTTTGGGATGTAAGGAAGGTGTTTCACACGTAGAGAAACCATGCTTGGGGACTGAGAGACAGCAAAGACTGTTGTCTGAAGACATTTTGGGGTGCATGTGTCTGGGAGAAGGGGCAGGTTGGGCATTGCCCTGATGGAACAGTACCCTGCTCTGCAGCCCCACAGCTTTGGATAACAGATGTGCATGCAGAAGATGCTGAAGAAATGTTTCAGTCAAGAATGGACCAGGATGTTTTGTTTCTGCCATAGTTTAATTTTTGTTTTATAACTGCAAAGGATGTTCACTTGCTTGTGATCTAACAGTAAATGAATAGACTGAGCTGATGTTTTCCACCTGAGAAAGGAAGGTATTCAGCGCTTTTGTGTTAGCATTTAGGAAAAACACAGTTCAGAAGAGAACAACAGCAGCCCTACTGCACAAGCAACCAGCAGAGCTCACAGCAGAGCTGATTTTGCTTTGGCTGCTGTGGTTCTCAGAAGCTGTGCTGCACTGACTGTGTGTGTTCACAGCCACGGCCGTGCTGGTGGTTGCCAGCACCGAGGTGGACAAGAGCGGGGCCTCGTACTACGGCGAGCAGACGCTGCACTACCTGGCAGCCAGCGGGGAGAGCGCCGTGGTGCAGCTGCGTGAGTACCTCCCGTGCTGCCCTGCAGCTCCTGCAGCTCCTGCAGTTCCTGCAGCCCCTGCAGCCCCTGCAGCCTGCCGGGCGTCTCAGTCTCCTGAACTGACCTTTGGAGCAAAATCCTCTATGCAAAACACCCTTCACCTTTTTTTTTGGTTTTGTTCTTTACCTCTGCTTTTTGCTGGGTTGGTGTGGGTTTTTTTCAGTAGCTGAATTTTCTTACCTTTGATAGACTTACCATCTTAATGTCAGTGGCAGAGAGCAAACGCTTCCAGTTATTACATGCTGATAGTTTGATTGGGAAGGTGTTCAGGTGCACAGGGAGGGAACTGTACTCTCTGAGAAAACACCTGGGCAATGGAGCCAGGTTGGTGTCTGAGAATCCATAATGGGCAGGAATGTGTGTCACCAAACAGAATAGTCCTGCCTACACTTTAACACATGCAGGGTACTGCCCTCAGTGAGCCAGGGCAGAGTGAGAACAATGTTTTGAAGTCTGATGGAAAATAGAACTCCTTTGTTTTGTATTGTAATATTGAAAGCGTTTTAAAACATAAAAATGACATTGGGGAGCAGCAGATGAATGTGCTTAATTCCAGTGTCTAGCTTGAACTGGAAGTCCATGTCTTAACTTCCCCTGTGGAGATCTTTTTTCCTTCTCTCAAGCTCCTGCTATTGTGTGCAAACATCTGGCCTGTTTGGGATTGTAGAGGATTTGTTTGATTTGTTGGGAGTGCTTGGGGGCACTGGGGATGGGGTGACGTGGACTACCTTTGCTGGAGGTACTGTGAATGTAACTTCCATAACAGTGCTGACTGGGAACGTTTCCAGTTTGCCTTCTGCTGCAAAACTTGTGGAAGAGTGCTGTGCCCCACTTCCCCTTGATGGTAACTGCACTGGGGAAGGACAATTGGGCTTATGACTCACTATGTAGAATCTCTTTGGGAGCAGTTTCCCAGCTTACGAGCACTGCTTGTTTAACTACATCCTTACTAAAATGTTCTTTATTTCTGCTGCATCTGTATTTAACAGGAAGTCTTTTCATTTAATTTAGCTATTCCTTTTCAAGGAAAAGCCCAGACTGATAAAAGCAAGTGGTGGGCACTTGGGCTGAGAGGTGCCTCATTCCCTGAGGAGTTGGATCTTTTTTGAAGTGCAGTTTTGAAGCTTTTTTCCACTCTGGCATTTGCAGAGGGCTTTTCATTTTCCACTAAGGTGTGGTGCTGCTGCAGGCTCTGGCAGAGCTCTGAAGCCTGCATGGAGGTGCCCTCATCTCTCCAGCTGCTGCTGTCACCAAATGTCATTTTGTGTCACCTCTGTAGCTGAGCTGCACTGGGTTAATGTCACTGAGAAGGCTTCAGAGGGGAGCACACACTGTGATTATACATCCTTGTTTCTAAAGATAATGAGACTTCAGAGTGACAACAGGCATAAACCATTTAACTCAGTTTGAACATTTTGGGTCACCTCTGGATTTAAGGATTCAGTAATGCACTTGGCATTTATCTGAACTATGGGTAAATATACCCAGATGCTGAAAAGTTATAATGGCCTGTGGTTTGTTTTTACCTCTGGGTATTTTACCTGAGTTTTCATCACTAATTCATTATTCTTCAGTATCTCCTAATGTTCCACCCCCCAGAATAACTTCTAACAGTGCTGAGTTTTGATCATTACATGTAAAGCCATTTTTGTGTGCTCACTCACATTAAAATCTGACTTCTATTGTGCATGGGCATGGTGCAAAGGTGACTCAGGTCACTATTGCTTACCTCTACAAAGCTGAACTACACAATATTTCTTAGATTAAAAGAAGAGAACTATTATCCAGCTGGTATAAAACTCCTGTTTTCGCAGGTTTCCAGTGGGACAATTTGAGAAGGTCCTGAGGTCATACTTGAGGAAAAAAAAAAGGAATTTTTTTACATGTCAAGCTATGCTTACTGTTAAAGTGTTGGTGCTGGCCCTACAGAGGTAATTTGGAATGACTGCAGTTATTGTTGCAAACTGTAACTAAAGTTATCAGAAGATACAAGGTTGTTTTCCCTCTGTTGTTAGCAGATTAATTTTCACTGTCAATAATTAGAATGCAGCATTTTAGCAAAGCATGAAGAGTCACTATGGATTTTATTTTGGCTTGCTCTGAAAAGACTCAGTCTCCCAGCAGCTGCATGTTTTTCCTTTTCCTTTAGCAAAAAATGGCCCTATTTACGACGTTGCCTGGAGCCCCAATTCTGTCGAGTTCTGCGCCGTGTATGGTTTCATGCCTGCCAAAGCCACGGTTTTTAACCTGAAATGCGACCCCGTGTTTGATTTTGGCACCGGGCCTCGCAACGCTGCCTACTACAGCCCCCACGGACACATCCTGGTGCTGGCAGGGTTTGGAAACCTCAGGGGACAGATGGAAGTGTGGGACGTTAAGAGCTACAAGCTGATTTCCAAGCCAGTGGCCTCGGACTCCACGTACTTCGCCTGGTGTCCCGACGGGGAGCACATCGTGACGGCCACGTGCGCTCCCCGCCTGCGCGTCGGCAACGGCTTCAAGATCTGGCACTACACGGGCTCCGTGCTGCACCGCCACGAGGTGCCGGCCGACGAGGAGATGTGGCAGGTGTTCTGGCAGCCCTTCCTGGACGGGGTGTTCCCCGAGAGGGCCGTGAGGTACCAGGCCGTTCCCGGCGAGCTGCCCCGGGCCGAGCCCGGGCCGGCGCAGGCCTACCGCCCGCCCGCCCTGAGGAACAGGCCCGTGACGAGCTCCAAGCTGGTGAGCAGCCGTGTCCTCAGGGAACTGGCCCCTTGGCTCCCGTCCCTTTGGAGCTTGGCCTCGCCTGTGTGCGTGCTTTTGAGGAGAGTGACCGGGTTGACAGCACTGTGGGGGTTTGGAGGGGTTTTGGTGACCTTCTTTGGCACTGTGCTGACAGTTTGCAAGAACGTATGCTAGAAAGCTCTCATCCCAAATACCTTTCACAAAGCATTTCCAGACTTTTGTTGTACTCTTTGCAACATGCACTGAAACACTAAACTCCAAGCTTGTGGTGAAACTGAGTTAGGACAGAAGCCTCTGATCTGACTTGCCAGTTCTGAACCCAGCCAGCCTGGGGCTTGAGTGGTCTCCCAACAGCCATTTTTTTTGTTGTTTTTTTTTTTTATAAGGTAAATGTACTTATTAGAAAGAGATTGGATCATTAGCAAGTCAGCTGCAGCTTAAACACATTTCAGTACAGTGATCTGCTTGTATAATTAGTTTCTTTCTGCAAGTTTCCAAAGTAGGCTGAGGAGCAGCTAATTCCATGTAACAGCTGCACCCTTGGTGTTTGGGTCCCGGAGAGCTTTGATTTTGAGCCTGGTGCTTTTGCAGGAGGCTCAGCCTGTGAGCAGTGTTAGCCATGCCGAGGGGCTGCTCCCACAAACCATCCCTGAGCAGAGGGAGGAGGGAGAAGATACAGTCAGTAAAATAATTCTGCTTACTTATATGAGCAAAAAGTCTTGTCATATGCATTAAAAAAATACAGTGCCACAGTTGAGAGTTATCTTAAAAACACCAGAAACCCCCTTTCTGTCCCCAGTGCCTCCCAAGAGCCCCCCATCTCCCCTGCAGAGAGCCTTCCTCTCTGGTCATCAGGAGTTTGAGTTACAGAGCTGTCAGCAGCAAAATGCCAGGCTTCAGTCATTTTGAGCTAGGTTATTCCTCTTGGATTTCATTTCCTTACATAATGATTTTGTTTTCTTGCTGGAAATCTGTGAAATCATTAGGACACCCAGGGTAGTCCCGTGCAAACTCGAGTGGATGAGTTTGAAACCCTTTTCACACTTCTTTGGCTGTTCCAAGGAGTGCATACCTTTTCCCCCACTTCCTTTCTTTCTTTTTTCTTTCTGGTTCATCTTTGCATATGATGTTGTCTTAGGTAGATTTTAGGATTTCTGTGCCAACATGGAATATGGTGTTTTAACCATTTTGTGTGTCCTGCAGCATGAGGATGAGCCACCCCAGAACATGAAACCCCAGCTGGGAGGCAGTGATAAGCCAATGTCCAAAATAGCTCTCAAAAATCAGAGGAAACATGAAGCAAAGAAAGCTGCTAAACAGGTACTGCAAAAATCATTGTTACAGGGATCACGTTAATTAGATAATTAATTAATTAGCTTCCCCAAAGGGCAGCGGTCAGTCAGAGCAGTGGCTGGTGCAGCAGTGTGGGAAGGGCAGCAGAGTTTAACCAGAGAATAACAGCTACAGAAGGGTGATTCAAAAGGAACAGCTTTGCTGAGTGGCTGCAAATGTTAGCTGAAATCAGTGTGGAGACAAGGAGATTCTGACTTCTCCTTTCTGCAGGATGTGTTTGGGTTTCAGGTGGGAGGGAAGAGCAGGTGGGTGCTTTCTGCTCCCTGCAGCACAAGGCTGAGGTGTGCTTTTAGGGCAGACCAGAGGCAGCCTGTCTGTCACTTCTGGACTGACTGTTCATTGACTGGGTAGATAAAAGTCAGCTTTTGGTATTAGCCTTCCAACTTCTACAAACCTCTGAAGCAATAATTTCTTTCAATGCTATTGAAAAAAAATTTCTAGCTCTGGTTTTGAGCCCTTTCTTTGCTTCAGAGACAATGACCCAGTCTGTTTTGTAAAATATTTGTGTGTGTGTTTGTCATGTCACCCTTAAACTGTTGCTTCCCTGTGCTGTGTGTGGTTGGGATCTTGAGGAAGTAGAAATTAAACAAGAAACAGCATGTGAGCTGTTCCAGATAAGCCTTTGTCCATGGAAGGCAGGTCAGTAGATAATGCAGTATCTCAGAGCAAGTCGTGCCTGGATTTTGGAATACACCAGCAAAATGGGGAAAGAAGGAATTTTAAATGGATCCTCTAAAGTGATTAAAGACGTTTTTCATTCTCTTTGCAATCAAAGGTTTTTTTCTGGATTGTGTTTCTGTGTCTGCAGGAGGCCAAAGCTGAGGCACACCAAGTCCCTGCCCAGGTCAAAACCCCACAGAATGCCCTGCAGAGCACCGTGCCAGCCATGACCACGGGAGATCCTGAGGTGGACAAGAAGATCAAGAATTTGAAGAAGGTGTGAGGGGATTGTTAGGTTTCTAACAGAGTATTCCTCCAAGGGCTGGTCTAGACCTAGCGTGGGGTGAGCTGAGTTCAGGAGCATGCAGCTACCTTCAGGGGAATGCCCCAGGTTTGTGCCCACCTCCCTTTGCCCTGCAGCAGTGGGGGCCATCGAGTGCCAGGGCTCCTGGAGGTGCCATCGGGGTGGGTACAGGGAGGGGCTGTTGAACCTGCCCCTGGGGCTCTGGCAGGAGTGCTGTGGAGGTGCAGCCAGTCCCAGCTGGGCGTGCTGGTGCTCACACAGGAGCTCTGTGCCTCCTGTGGCTGCTGGGACCTGCATCTGCCAGGGGAGCAGTGCCCTGTGCTTTGCCTTGTGCTCTGCGTGCAAAGTTTACTGCCAGTCTTGAGAATTCTTGCGTTAAATAATTCCAGAATAGGAATTGCTAAGTTCTGGCTAGAGAATCTTACCTGTTTCTCTTGGCTGCCTCCTGCTGCTCGTAGTCTCTGGATTAGCTTTCCAGGCTTTTTGAGGAAACTGTGTGGTGAAGAGGGATGGTGGTGCAGTAATTTCCAATTTTGGATCTAGCCCTTCAGTGAGACAATGCCTAGTGTTTGTTTCTGAGATTAAATACTGCTATTCCTAGGTTCTGTTCTTGAAAGAAATGTCTGTTATGGGTGGGAAATTCTGGGTGAAGCATCTGGAGATGCTTAAGGGATTGTGCCTTCCATGGACACCTGCCTCCAGACACATCAGCAACTTCTAAGACTTTTTTTCTGTTCTTGCTTCCCCAATAAGTTTTGATTGGTTGTTTTTGTTTTTTTTTTTTTCAGAAACTAAAGGCAATTGAGCAGCTGAAAGAACAGGCAGCTGCTGGCAAACAGCTGGAGAAGAATCAGGTACAGTTGAGATCTGTACAGTTTATTCCAGGTTCATTTTATAATAACTTACATCTATGACATTTTCTGCTCTAGGTGGAGAAGATTCAGAAAGAAGCTGCTCTCCTTAAGGAACTGGAAGACCTGGAACTGGGTGTTTAAATCTTCCTCGAGCTCCAGTGTGGTGCTAACACAAAGTTCATGCAAAATGTAGTTTGTTAAACATTTCAGCAAATGACCAAGGGTTCGACATCCACAGATTTGCTGCTCATTTGCCTTTAAAGAAGAGTTTTCCTAAAGATTGGTGCACACGAAGCCGTAAAGCAAGCGATGAGCATCGGCCAATTCCGCTGATCCAATGAGAAATGCGCTCCTTTTCTGAGAACATACTGCCTGAACCAGATTGTTTTTCCTCATTGGGGTGGGAGAGGGGAAGGCGACGAAGACCTTTGATAGCTGTATAACATTTAAAAAGCTGCGATCTTTATGCACCGAGGGGCTGTCGATAAAAATAAAGAGCGTTTAATAGCAGCGGGCTGTGCGAGCGGAGTGTGACCGCCAGGGGGCGCGCCGGGGGCGGGGCTCCGCGCCTGGCCCCGCCCCCGCCGCGCGCGTGACCTTGGCGAGGCGGCGGGCGGCACCGGGCGGCGGCGGCGCCGCGGCGGCGGAGCAGGGCGGGCTGCCGGCGAAGAAGCTGCGCATGGCCTACGCCACCGGGCCGCTGCTCAAGTTTCAGATCTGGTGAGGGGCGCCCGCCAAGATGGCGGCGGCCAAAATGGCGGCGTCCGGCGGGCCGTCGCTTCTCCCTCCCTCGTTCGTTTTTCTTCCCTTCCTTTCCCTCAGCGCTGCGGCGGCCTCGCTCGCTCTTGGGCGTGGAGGGGCCTCCCCCAGTGGCGGGGGCCGCCCCGCCCCAGGCGACCTGTCGGGGCGCCCGGCCCTGTTGGAGCGTGGGAGGCGGCACCGGGCCGCGGGCGGCGGCTCTTTCAGTGGGTCCCTCTCTACGGCCACCCGCCATAAAATAGCGCTTTTCGGGCCCCTTAGTGCCGTGTATGGCGTTGTGCTGCTGCGGGTCTGACGTTTGGGAGGAACCGATGTCTTAGCCGTGGCTGTAATTCTGTGTTTTGGTGCAGTGCCCGTGTTGCAGTCGGTGCGCTCCGGCACCTTGCACCATTCCGGCGGCGTTGCCGATGGTGTCAGCAGCTCCGAGCAGGCTTGAGGCAGCCCGGAGCCTGTTGGCGGGCAGTAAAGAACGCAGCAGGCCCGGAGCACTCGCCAGTACGGTTCCCGGCCCTCGGGGCGGCCGGAGCAGAGCCTGGGCGAGCCCTGCGGGCCCCTGAGGCGCCGCAGAAGCGCTCCGGGGAAAGCGCTGGGTTCGGGGTGTTTGGTGCTTCACCGCGGCTTTATAGAGGCGGCTGCTGAAAGGCAGGCAGAGGACAGCTCGGGGATATTTAACCCCTGCAGTTCCCGTGTCGTGCTGACATAGAGGTGGCTGGGAGAGCCGTTGCCTATCTGGATAGTCCCAGAGAGGGATTCAGACGCCTCTGCGTGAAGATTTTTTTTTTTTTTTTTTTGGCACAGAGCAAGGGGTTGCTTATATCGATTTCATAAATTAATCATAACAGATTTTTGCAGGGAAAGCGAGTGATTTGATGCTTAGTGGGTATTTCCAGAACTCCGTGTCTGTGCTGGGATGTGGAGCAAATCATGTCACACCCAGGGCTTGCCTGCTGGGATTCGCGGTGTGTAATTTCACTGCGGATCAGGTTTTCTCTGTGCCGTAAAAGACGCGAGTCGGAAGAGGGTGAGTGCTGCTGGGCTGTGGTGACAGTGCTGTCTGTGCTCAGTGTCTCCTGAGGCTACAGGCGGGTGTTTGAGGAGTACATGCGGGTGATCAGCCAGCGGTACCCAGACATCCGGATCGAAGGGGAGAACTACCTTCCTCAACCCATCTATAGGTGAGCCTGCCACTTCGTGCTGTGTGCTCTCTGCCTGTCTGCTCTCCAGTGGTAAACACGTGCATTTACACTGAAATAATGCTGAAAATGTAAACTTGAGGGGATTTTATATTGCAGTTGCATACAAGGACACTTGTATGATTTCCTTGTGTGTGATTTTCTTGCCTTCCAGGTAGCTGCCTTAATTTTCCATACAAGTATCACTGTCTGGATATCTGTATGATGAGGCCTGTCATATCCAGTGTAAAATAAATTACATAACTTTTTTTTTGAAACAGTGAATTTTCCTAGCTTTTCTTCATGCTGTATCTGGACATAAATTCAGTTTGTTGCTCAGGTTTATGCACTTAGTGATAAACCCCTGTAATGGGTTAAGGACTCAGAGGAAGGGAAAGTTCAGTGTTAACATCTGAATCAGGGAGAGCTCAGCTCAGGCTGGGGGCTGCCAGAGTGCCTTTGCTGCAGCTGTGGGGGGAAGGCCCAAAGATTCAGAAAAAGGCAAATTAGTGTTACTGCTGTTACTTAAAGCAGCGTGCCCACGCTGGGGAGTGATGCCATAGTTACTGGGTGGCTCCTGAACACTCGTTGGCCCGATTTCTGGCAGGGTTGTGGTGGTGGGAGGCTGCAGTGCCTCGGTGTGGGCTGGCTCTGGGGAGTTGTACATCACTGGGAACTGCTCCACAGGAAGTGGTGCCTGTCAGTCAGACATGTCTGTGATAGGAACAGCTTTAGAAACTGAATCTGTTACCCAGGTCAGGCATATATAAGTTAAAAGCAAAGTCCTGTTTGAAGTCTGCTGAGGAGCAAAAGACTCTGTCTGTGGTTTACAGGAAGGTGTTATTGTGGGGTGCTGTGCAAAAGCAGGGCCTTATTGGGGGTGTTATGTGTGTTGCTTTTTTTTTGCCTTTTTTTTTTTTTTTTTGTGGGTTTGATTTGGTTTGGGGTTTTTTTGCAGCGAGATAAATCTTGGAAAGTTTCATACTTCCCCTGAAACATTTGACTGTACACTGTCAAAGTTCTCCTAGTGATGTGAATTACAGTTATGTATGGTGAAGCAGAAGCTGAACCTTTCAGTCACTGGTGTGTGTTGTCTCCAACAGGCACATAGCATCCTTTCTGTCTGTCTTCAAACTAGTATTAATTGGCTTAATCATCGTTGGCAAGGACCCGTTTGCTTTCTTTGGCATGCAAGCTCCAAGCATCTGGCAGTGGGGCCAGGAAAACAAGGTAAAGGACATACTTCTTCTAGTCTGAAAAAGCAGCTTCAGAGTTACTTCATGAGGGTGCTCTGTGAGTCCCTCGGTTATGACTGATTCACCTTTCATATGCTGCAGCCTTATGGTAGAATAATTCTTACCAGTTGTGCTTTATGCTTGTGACAAACCCAGGTGCACTTCTGTGATCTCTTTCCAAGCTGCTGCTACTGCAGAGGGGCAGCTGAGGTTAATGTGCTGGCAAAGATGATTAAAGAGTTCTCTATTTTTTAGGGCTCAAGAAGAGCATTTCAAGCCAGTATTGTTGATGTTAAAATTGCAGTTTCCCTTCTCTGTTGTCTCATAACAGTTTTGCAGTTGATGCTTCCATCAGACTCCTGATAGATTAGGCAGCAATTAGAAGGGTGTTAGAAAAATGAAGTTGAAATGTTGTGGGTGTTTTTGGAGAGCAGACTGGCATGACATTGTGGGAAAATATCCCCATGAGTCAGTAGTGATGATGCCAGTAGATTCAGGGTGTTGTACTCTGATTTAGAGTAACCTTGTTCCAGATATATTCCACTAAACTAATTTACAGACCTTCATGCTGAGCTGCCCAGGGCCCTGGGTCTTTCACTGGCCAGTTTGCGTGCCCAGAAGCTGTAATATTTCCAGCTGAATTAAATGGGCCAACTCAGTGCCTGGCTGGCTGGCTGCGGTGCGTGGCTGCTGTCCCTGTGCCAGCTTCTGTGGTGTTGCAGTGACTTGTGTGAGTGTGCCTGTGAACAGGAAATTGGAGAGGTGCTGGCGGTGAGGGAGGAGCTTCACTGCTGAAGATGCAGCAGAGAAAATTGGGGTGTAGAGCTGGGAGGTGTGCAGGAGGGTCGGTGGTTCCTGTGCACGCGCCTTGCCTTGCTCTGCCGTTTGTGGCTGGGCCCTTGGCTCTGCAGGTTGCTGTGGCAGTGACAGGCTGTGCCTGGAAGGGTTGAGTTCCCGTGTCACGCTGCCAGCCCCCTGCAGCTGGCTGTGCTGGCCCAGAGGTGTGCGGAGGGCTGTGGGGTGGGTGGGCTTGGCACTGCTGAAGATGCTGTCTGGGGAAGGCAAGGTGCACAGTCCGTGTCAGAGGAGGAAGGGGAGGTGTCTGCGGATGGGAACATTCCTTGGGCAATCACAGAGGGAGTTCAGGGGCACCTGTGAACAGCAGCAGGTGTGCCTGACATGCCTGAGGTCTGTGTGGATCTTTGTTCCCTTCCAGGTGTACGCCTGCATGATGGTCTTCTTCCTGAGCAACATGATTGAAAACCAGTGTATGTCCACTGGGGCTTTTGAAATCACTTTGAATGGTGAGCTGAGACTTTGTTTGAGGGGTGTCACATATACACATGTGAGAGCTGTGGGGTGGGGACAGTGAAGGATGGTGTCAGGAAATTTATGTCCCAAATGTGATATGTGGAAATTGCCATCCAGTTGGATCTTTAGATGTTGCCTACCAGAATAAATAATGAAAATCATAGAAGTCTTATAAAGCAATTTATGCAGATGTCAGATACTCTAGAACAGCTCTGTAAAAACTTACTCAGAGGGATATTTGGTGCCTTGGAATAACTGTGTTATATTCTTTCTTTGTGTGTGATGTGCATTAAATAAGAAGCCATCAGCTAGAGGCATGTACTCTCCAATTAGATGCTTTCCCTGTCTGTTCTGCAGCATGCTTTAGCTTTGGAATCCTAAAGAATCCATTTCTCTTACCAGATTATCAGTACTGATGGACAGCAGTACTGATTTTTCAGGTAGAGAGGAATGTCAGTGGATATTTTGCAGCTCTCCATCAGTATGATACACTCCTAAATGGAAGCGTTAGACACTCTGCTCTCCTAGTTGGGCTGGGGTTCAGCATAGCCAGAGGTGGGAGGCATTGTTGATTCAGATATTTTCCTCAACACCAACTCAGTTTCCTAGAGCTTCTCAGTTCCATGTTTCCAGCAGCTCTGCCTGTTTCTGATGCTCCCAGTGTAACAGTGCTTCTCTCCCTAGATGTCCCAGTGTGGTCTAAGCTGGAGTCTGGCCACCTCCCTTCCATGCAGCAGCTTGTACAGATCCTTGATAACGAGATGAAGCTCAATGTGCACATGGAGTCAATGCCCCATCATCGATCATAGCCCCATCGATCAGCACTGAAACTTCTCGTAAGTCTCCTCCAGTCACCAGTGTGTTTGCCCAGGTAAGATGGGCACACTGGAGACTGGATTTTAGGAGTGTGTGTTTGTTCAGTTAAATGTTTTTTCTGGAGAACAGCTCCCATGATGTTAAACTGCGACATGTGGTGTCACAGAGGCTGTTGGGTGGGAGGTTTTGGGATGTGGCTCATTCTGCCTGTCTCAGAGCAGGAAGCTGGCATTCCATGAGGCAGGAGAATGTGTGTTACAGCAGGCAGAAGGCCTAATGTCAGTGAAGTGTGTGTGCAGAGATCAGAAACACTGCTTTTGTGTGTTAGAATAGCATCTGTCCAGGGGCTTAAGGTCTCCCTGGCTTTTAACCCAGTTGAATTCCAGAGCCTTGGGGAACAGGATGCTGTCTATTCCTTGCTTAATCCTGGAGAGCAGAGCACTGTCATGCTCTGGTGTACTGCCCTGCTCCTCTGCAAAAGCCCCACAGTTCTGGTAGCATGGAGTTCACATGTGTAGGTATTGTGTGACAAAGCACTTCCACGTCCCCGTGTCACCTGTGGCTCAGCATAGCTGACGGGTCCCATCTTGGCTGGCTGTGTGCAGGGTGCTGCTGTGCTGCAGGGCTGTGCTGGCTGTAACCCAGCTGTCTCTCCACAGGCGTTGGGTGGTGGTTCCCGGGCCGCGTGGCGCAGACCCATGAAGGCCTGCACTGAAGACAGCTGCTGTTGGTGCAGGCTGGATGCCTCTCCTGCAGCCACGTTGTGCCTCCTGGACAAACACTCAATGAGCCCTGTTTCAGTGCTGGCCGGTCCACACTGCACAGCCACGAGTGCAATAATACTGTATAGTTTTTTTAAGACTTCATTCGACCAGTTCATAGATCAGCAATGCAGGCATTACTAATGGTAACTTATTTTATATTCATGTTTCACACTATGGCAGATTGAGTTGATACCTAATTTTTCCTTGAAAAAAGAGAAGTTTGTTTAATCTGTTGTATTTTATATGAATTTATGTTCTTTTTGTAGTTTAAAATGAAGTTATAGGAGTGTCTGATATTGTCCTAAACTGTTGAGTAATTGATAGCTGTCTATCAAATCTCTTTAATGTGGTTAAAACAGGTTTGTATATTTTTCAAAATCTATGGCAGAGTCGAACAGTGCATTATATACTGAATTATATAAGCAAAATTGTATGCGGAATTGTTACATCACTTGGTGACTTCAGTGAAAATTAAGATCAGCTGCTCTTTAATCATGTGGACCAGCTCCAGCAGTTCTTCCTTGGCCATTTGAGAGATGAGCTGGGCCTTCCTGCTGTCCTGAATAGAACCCAAGAACATTAATTGAAATAAAGAGTTCCCATTTCCTGTGTGAAGTACCTTGTTTGTCACCGATGGACATTCTTGGAACTGCAATTGAAAAACTGCATAAAAAACCAACTTTCCAAAGTTACTGACCTTGTATTTGTCATGTGTAAGCCCCTAAGAACCCCGAGTGTGAGGAAAGGCACATGGGGCTTGGTCTGATCCTTCAGGCACCTGCTGCAGTTCAGGTGTGGCCTCCCTGGGGGAAGCTGGCCAGGTGCATCCCTAGTTTCAAAGGCAGCTCTGCGAGGCTGGGAGGTTCCTCACTGCTGACTGCAGCACCACGGGCTGAACACGCACTGACAGCTCTGCAGTGCTTGAACCAGAGCCCAGCCCAGGCTGCAGCTGGTGCTCCCTGGAGCCAAGCACCGGTGATTGCTTTGGGCACTCTGAGGGCATTTGTTGCTCTCTGTGCAGGGAACCACCTTGTCTTGTACCTGCAACTGGCTGAGCTGCCCTGGGGCTTCCTGCTGATGCCACCTTCCTGTCAGGAGTGGCAGGGCAGTACACCTGCAGTTTGTACCTGCCCGTGGGGTACAAACCTGTACACCGGGTCTGAGCAAACGCCTGCCTGTGCAGCTGTCCCAGGCCTGGCTCGGGTGTGCCCTAATGCCTTACCCGAGGGCTGAAGGCAGAGGGGAGCCTGCTCAGGAGCGCTGCACTGCTGCGGAGCAGGGCACACGGCACTGCTGTGCCCGAGCAAAGCCCCCTCGTGCCTCCGTGACCAAGGTGTCACTGCGGGCCGGTAGCGCCTGCCCCGATCCCATCTGGGGCTGTGCAGATCGGCCCTGCACTGCCCTTTCCTCTGCACCGGGGCAGGCAGGGCCGCAGGAGAAGCCTTGCTGAGCACATGCAGGTGCCACAGCACCGGGGACTGTCTCTGGCTCATTTTACACCACACACACACTGGTCAGAGTTCCTGGGCGTTTACTATTGCCTTGATGGAGCTGCGCAGCTCGTCACTTATGTCAGCAGCCATGCAGAGCTCCAGGATCTTCACAGCCTGGGTGATGAGGTACATGGGAGGCTGCATTTTGTTCCACTGCTCATTGGAAGGGAAGTTGAGGCATCCCCGCATCCTTTCGAAGAGCTGCAGGATCCTCACGCGGAAGGCAAGCAGCAGGAGCTCATCCTCACCCAGCCGGGCTGGAGGAGGCAGCTGGCTGCTGGTGCTGACCTGCAAAACAGAGGACACGTGTCAGCAGAGCCAGCCGAGCTGGGGACGGGGCTTCTGTCTCCAGCAGACAAACCTGCCCCTGTGACAGGAGCCTGCAGGGGAAAGGAGCTGCCCTGCACCCTGCCCACATGGCTCACAGCTCTTCTCCCTGTGGCAGAGCCAGGTGACCTTGGGGATGTTGCCAGGGAGTGGAGTCCCACACTGTGGCTCCTTGCAGCGAGCTGGGGCTGGCAAGTGCCCCATCTCCATAGGAGTGGCAGGAATACAGGCATCTCCACAGCTTTCTTTTTGGGGATGGAGCATGGGACAACATAGGGCACATCCACCACAGGATAAGCACAGAGGAGAGCTCCCCTGGCTGCCCCACTCCCGCCGTGGGGAGTGGCTCAGCACAGGAACAATTACCTGCACTTTGGTTCCCATGTTGAGTTTTGCTTGTCGCCCCATGGCAAGGAAGGAGATGAAGATCTTGTCCTGGGCCAGGATCCTGACCCCCACGTGGCGGTTCAGGGAGATGAAAATGGGGCTCAGTGGCACCTGAGGTCCTGGTGACAAGTTCGGCCACATCCACCTTCTCACCCTGTTGCCTGCTTGGTCCAAATACTGCCCACCCTGGATACTCATATTTATCCTAAAGAAGGGGAAACGGAAGCTCTGAACCCTGTCAGCTCCTGTGGCAGAAGCTCTCTTATCCCCCTGAGGGATGGACAGAGGCACGGCAGGGACAGGGTCTGTCCCCACCTCTCAAGGCACAGCTGGGTTGCCTTGCTGCTCTGGAGGCACCCAAAGCAGGGCCTACGAGCTGCTGAATTTGTCTATTTTTGGACACTATTAACAACAGCCTTTATGGCCTTTGAAATGTCAGTGCACAGAGGAGACAGCAAAGCTGCTGAACGCACCACTCATCTCCGGTCGGGTAATAGCATGTGCTCCTGCCATCAGACTGAAACAGTGCTCGGATTTTGAGTGTCCTCCGCTCGTCCTCCTGTACTATGCACATCAGCTGGTCTCTGGCTTGTGTAATGATGATGGCCAGGTTTCCAGATGGATAGCTGCTGCTAGGTAAGGTGTTTGTAACCCCCTGCTGTGCTTGGTTGATCTGTTATTACACACTAAATACTTCTGGGTACTACTCTGGGGTGTAAAATATATATAATCTTATTTTTTATATATATGTATTTTATATATATATATATATAAAATCTGATATATTACCCAGAGCACTGTGTTAAAGGTGTGCTTCCTTGGGCTGGGTCTGGAAGCTAGAGCTCATTGGAGCTGCTGGCTGTTCTTGGAAACCTGAGCCCAGGAGCTGTGTCAAGATTCACTTCCGCTGCTCCTCAGAGCGAGTGGGAGCGATGAGCTGGGTTGTAATAAAGTGGACCCCGACACACTTAAAATTAGTAACAGCCCTGGACTAAGGCAGGCAAGTGAACCCTGTAAAGGATACAATAACTGCAAGGTTCCGTCTGGGAGCATGGTAAGGAATTTCTTTCCATTTTTGTAGTACTTCTGCACCAATTTACCCTTCCCCACCTAAGAATGGAAGGACAAAACGGATGAGAGCAGTCTGGCACGGCTGCCCTGTGAAAATGGGCCGCAGGTACCTGCCTTTTTCCCCAGATAACTGAAGTCGTAGCCGAGGACGCTGCGGGACATGGGCTTCTTGTCCCACTTGAGCTTTTTCTCAGGCTCGGGCTCCTCTTCAGGCTGGGACTCGGGCTCAGACCCAGGCTCCTTCTCCAGCTCGGGCTCTTCCTCGGGCCGAAGCTCCGGCTCGGGCTCCTCGGGCCGGGGCTCCGGCTCGGGCTCCTCCTTGGGCTGGGGTTCCAGTTCAGGCTGCTCCTCGGGCCAGGACTCGGGCGTGGGCTTCTCCTTGGGCCGGAGCTCGGGCTCAGAAAGGTACTCAGGCTCGGCTGCACTTGCAACAGGCACTGGTGACCCGGCTTTGGGAGATGGGAGTTCCTGGGAAGGCTCGTAGGAAATGGGTCCAGCTTGCTGTGACCCTGCAGAGCACAGGGAGGACTTCTGTGCAGCAGCGAGGGTTGGCAGTGCCCACCGTGGGGCTGCCAATACCTCTGCTGTAACTGGGGGAGTTCCTGGCTCAAACACTCCATCCTGACAGTCTGTCTCGGGGTGTTTTCTAACAAGGGCAGTCCAAAGCGCTCAGCTATTTCAGAGCACAGGATTATGATAAAATATAGCATTTTTTTCAATTACGTATATACACACATCTGTGTAAAGAACAACTTTTTGGGATAACATTTGACTCCACGCACTGGAACCGACCATTTGAGATCCCAGTGCTGCAGAAGCCTCACTGCCCTGCCACTCTCTGTGAAAACATGCCCATATTGTAAATCTGGTTCACCTGTCAAAACTCCTCCTCTATCTAAAGGCTGCTCAGTCATTCACAGCCTGGGCTAGGAATTGGTGGAATATCCACCTGATCAGACAAAATATGGGCAAGCCTCATTTTGGCAGTTCCTACTTCCTAAGGGCTTGGCTTTGCCATCTTATCCTCACAGGTCAGGTTCTGTGCATCTCAGCTGACATCACAGATACATACTGAAAATCATGACAAACTGTGCCAAGGGATGTGCCTGCTCTTGTGCTCATGTGTGAGAGATGATTTAATATGGCTGTATCTATATCTAATTTAATGAGATTGCATATCTGACAATGCACTAACATGTTGCTGTATAAAATCCTCCAGTCAGAAACCAGCAATTCCACTGAATACACTGCTGAGATAAATGGACAAATCCATAAGGAAATACCAGCTCACCTTTAGTGGCACTCTGCCTTAAAGACTGGTCAGCCAACTCTCTAGCCAGGTGTCTCTTCTGCTGCCTGGAAAATAGAAGTGTTGTTGACACCTCATGTACCATGTTTAGAAAGCTGCAAGTAGTGGATACCCCTGGTGTACGAACACAATTTCTGAATCTGTTTTTCTCTCTGCTCCCAATTCCAAGTAACAGGCAGCAGAGTGTCACCAAAACACTCACACCTCAGCAGAAAGGAATTGCACCCACACAGATTCCAGTGAACAGACTGCCACTGCAGTGGCATCTCTGCTGGCAGGAGAGCTGGATATTGTAATGTGCTTTGGATCAGGATTTTATGTGAAAGAGGAGGACAGATGCCCACAAGATCAAGAAAACAGCTCATATTCAAGAATATTTTCACTATTCTTGAGTAGCTTCCTATGAATCTGACAGTGGTTTGGTGTGTGCTCTGTACATAGTAGGAGGCACTTGCACCCTCAGATTGTGAAGGATTTTTGAGGAGAACAACAGTTTACTTCCAGCTGTACTGGTTTAGTTTTCCTTTTCCCTGTGGCTTAGACTTTCCCTGGAGGATCAAACTCTTGCACAAGCTTTGGGTCTCCTGCTAAACAGCCTAAAAACTTGCAGAGTTCTTGTGTGTGACTCTGGAAACTGTAATCCAAACAGTTTATGGATCAAAATGGAAATACAAACACCAGCTTTGTTTCAGTGCCAGAGGTAGAAGCTACACCCAAATACTGTCCCTTCCCACAGCTGTGGGGTTTTTTTGGCTCTACCTGTCTCTAGATAGTTCGTCTGTCAGCACTGGAATTAACATTTCACTCAGCACATGCCTTGCCACCTCCTTGTGCAGCCTGGCAATACAGGAGCCGGGAGGGACCAGAGAGAATCAGAAATTCTTCTTTCATCCCTCTCCCTGCGGTTTCTTAATGCTCCTTTCCCCCTCAAAGCTTCCTGTTCATTACACAGACCTGATCCCCAGTTCTCCCAGTACCTCCCAGTTTGCTCCTTTGACAGCAGCATGTTGGCTTCAGAGCCGGGGGATTCCTGGGTGCTGACAGCTCTGGGAAGGCTGCTGGCATCCTCGAGCCTCTTCCTCTCCTTCAAGATGAACTCATAGAGCTCTCGGCTGCGCCGGCAGCAGAATCTCTGCAAGGCGAGAGGGCAGAGCCGTGAGCGCGGCTGCCCCGCAGCGCAGCCCCGCTCGCCCTCCCCGCCGGCTTACGCCTTCCTGGTCCTCGGAGAGAGCCCCGTCCTCGGGCAAGGGGAACGGCCTCAGCAGGCTGCCGCAGTACTCGCACCTTGGCTCAGCATCCTCCTCTGCCTGCAGCGGTGGCGGGGAGAGCGGGGAGGGGGCCCCCAGATCCCCCGTGAGCGGTGAAAATGCGACAGATGTGACAAAGCACCTAAGGGCACTCAGACAGACCCATGTCTGGGGTACCTTGGAATGATTTAACTCACAACATTAGGCTCAGGAAACCACCAAAAAGAATAGCAATGTGTTGTGAATAAATCAATAAATGCCCCCAAAACTGGTATTTGTGAGTTCTGCACCTTCCCAGGGAAGCTGCGAGCACAGAACACTGCAGCTGAGGATTTGAATGCATTACAGAGAGAAAAACTCCATTTGTGGGAGTTTCTGAGGAAGCACCAGCAGGCTTGGTGATACAGAGCTGGTCACATCTGAGCAGATGCAAACCAGGTTGGCAGCATGGTGTGTTTTGAGGATGGGTACTGGATATCCTGAAACAAAATTCCCTTGCTCCCCACCTCGTGCCTCGAATTAACTCTTTGGTGACTTTGCTAAGGGTTACCGGGAACTCTGTGCCCTGCTTGTATTCGGTGTCTGTACCTATTTATATACATTTAGACAAAATATTCTGCTGGGATTCAGCAGTGGGGAGAGGCTGCACAGCCTCTTGCTGTCCAGGCTGTTTCAACAGCCTCGCAGCAGAAAAACCTGTCACGAAGGGGCTGCTTTGCGGGCTCGGCAGAGGGCGTTGGTTCCACGTTTTCCACACGGAACCGTGTGAATGAAGCCTCGGGGAGCGGCCCCCCAACTGACCTCGTGGTGTACGTTTGCCTGTGATGACTCGGGTCTGTAGGCCAGGAGGGTGGGCAGGCCCGTGGGGGCGGGCTGCGGGCTGGCCGGTGGTGTCCCGCACGGCGGCTGTGCCGGGTGGTTCGTGCCCTTCCCGGGGGGCGGGAGCGAGCGGGGCTCGCCCGCCTCATGGTGCGCCCCATCGTCCGCCCCTCCGCCGGGCGCCGCGGCGAGGCCCAGCCCGTCCATGCCCGGCCGCCACGGGCGGCGCCCGGGCTGCGCGGGGCTGGGGGACCCGAGCCCCCGCGCTCGGTCCTGGTCCCGCCGTCCCGGCGCTCCGCGCCTGCCGAGCCCCGGAGCGGCTGGGAGCTGCAGCGGGGGTGACACGCGTTACCAAACCCGACGTGGCTGCCGTTCGGACACGAGCTGTCTGCAGCTGGACACTGCCCCGGTGGACTCCTTACACCTGTGTCACACGCCTGTCACACATCTTCCTGATCTCTCCCGTAGGACTTGGCGCTGCCGAACTTCTCCAAGGGATCTGCACATACCGCTCGGAGAATAAACCCAGGCAGGTTCGGATTCCTCGGGAGAGCAGGTGTGTGCTACTTTACCTGTGCTGTCGGTCAGAGTTCGCAGTGAGTTCCACAACAGAGAAGTCAGTTTCACTTATTTTCCAGACGGAAAGAGCATGCTGAGGTGCGGCCAGTGCATCGGCGGCTCCCCGGTGTCGGTGCCGAGCTCCCGGTGGCTGTGCGAGATCGCTCCCACGCCTTCCTGGGCTCTGGCCGCGGCGCGACGGAGCCGAGCGCCTGGCCCGACCGCACAGGGCCGGCTCGAGGTGCGCTGTGCTCGCTCCAAACTCGCCAGTCCCTGGACAGGTGCGCTTCAATTTGCGTCTGAAGCGGGAATAGTTTTTAGGGAGAACTCTAGAACCGCAGCAGGTGCTCCTGCTGGGCTGAAGGGCATCCAGGGGGCTGCAGGGCAGTGCCAGGTGCTGCAGCCCGGCTGGGGCTCTGCCTGGCATGCAGGTCTGTCTGCTGCGAGCTCTGCCCGATGTGCTTCGTCCTCCCTTTCAAGGCTGGGGGCTTGAGAGGGGTCAGTTCTGTTCAGAGAACCGGGCAGGCCTCAATAACCTCTTCTGAATGTCCTGAGGAACTGTCACACTTTTACTTGGCCAGTCGTATCAGCTGCCTTGGGAAGATTCCCTGAAACCTGAGGGAATCCTCAGTGAAATGAGTCACCTGTCTACTCAATGACCTGAATTGGAAACACCTCCCTTCTTGGCAGTGCCAGCTCAGGTACTCCTTATTCTAAACTGTTTCAGTCAGAAAAGACACAAGGTGATGGGTTCATTTTGTTTGGGTTTTTTTGAAGTGAAATCTAACAAGAATTTGCCACTCCTTCATAACTGAGTGGTCTGGACAGACCTAATGATAACGTGTGTTACCTATAATCCACATTAGATAAGTTAACACTGGATTAATTAATTAATACTGCTATATTCAAAGACACACTTTGGAGTTTTGCTTTATGCAAAAATCCTCTTATGCCCCAACTGTCAGTAAGAAAACTACAAGTTTTGCTGAATTACAGAAAAATTAATCAAATCCTTAGGAATTCTTGCTTGCTGAAAGCACGGGTGGTAACAGGTGTTGGGACCATGGCTTGACTTTGATCCTGCTTATGCAGGAGGCAATTAGTTCACCAGGCTGATGCTGCCAGAGTTCTGCCAGAGCACAGCGTGAGATCAGATGTAGCATCTTTAATTGCTGGTATTCAGTGCCTAGAGAGTAACTCCTTGGGAGGTTTTTTCCATGGTTACTTCCAAGTTCTTGCAGCCAGGCAGAGCTTCCCGTCACTGAGGCCAAACTTGTTCTTGTGCACTTTTCTGAGGGCTGCTGCCAGGTGCTGGTGATGGCTGCTTAGGGCTTGGACATAACTCCAGAGCTGTCCCAGGAGGAAGTCAGGACTGGTTTTCCTCCTTTTGTACTGCATATGTTCACACCAAGTCTCACGTTTACGTGCCGCTTTCCACCGCTGCGAGGCTCCCCCTGGCAGTGTCACCCCGCGGCTCGCTGCCCGCTCCAAACGGCGCGCGCACGGACGAGGTTCGGCACGGCCGTACCGGGAGCTGGTGTTGGCTGTCATGACTCCAGCACAACGTTCCCATGGCACGGGCTGCAGGCACAGTCAGCTGTGGTGACAGCACGGTGCCAGGGGCAAGGACCCTCCAGGGAGAGCCAGCCCATGCCAGGGCATCCCAGCTGATCCAGCACGGCTGAGCACACGTGCCGCGCACTCGTGTGTTAGCACAGCTCCTCAGTGTGGGTTTTGCAAAATATTTATTGCAAAATAAAAAGAGATATGGCAGCAAAACTTAAATACCAAATGACAAGACACTGGCCATAAAGCTCTTGCTATATTATCAATCTTTTACAATTATCAATAGCAGAGTGTGTCCCAGGGCAGCTGCGCGTGGACAACCCCGTGTCTCTGGCTCCAGCCATCTGCAGTCTGTGAGACTTGTGCCTCCTGCTTGCACCTGCACCTGGCCTGATCCCCTAAAGCAGGCAGGAGCCAGCAATTCCATGTGAAAGGTACCATGCCATACCCCAGCCCCTTCTCTCCTTCTTCCTGTTGAAGCCACCACAGCTGACCCAGTGCCCTTCCCTCCCACAATGCAGCAGGGAATGGAGAAACATTGCTGAAGTACCTACTGTTCCCTCACAGCTTCTTCTGTGAGAGGTTGCTTGGATTTCCTTCCTTTCTCACCTACTAGGAAAGGACAGGCAGCCAGGGAGGATTATGAGCAGCCAGGGATCAGGTTAGGAATACAAAAGCCTGAAATAATTAAATCTGGCCAGGGCCACCAAGGGCAACAAGCAAAGCAACCTCTATAGGTGATAAAAGGAAGACTTGGGAGAATGTGGACCCTCTAAGGAAGGAAATGGGAACCCCAGTTCCCTGGGAGGTGGACAGGGCTGAGGGTACTCAGCCATGTTTCTGACTCAGCCTTCATGGCAAGCTGCTCCAGGGTGGACAGGGCTGAGGTACTCAGCCATGTTTCTGACTCAGCCTTCCTGGCAAGCTGCTCCAGCCAGGCTGCCCAAGTTGCAGGAGGCAGAGAGTGGGAGAACAAAGAACTGCCCGCAGCAGGAGAGGACTGGGGTCGAGGAGGTCGAAGGGACCTGATGGCAAGCTGCTCCAGCCACGCTGCCCAAGTTGCAGGAGGCAAAGGCAGAGAGTGGGAGAACAAAGAACTGCCCGCAGCAGGAGAGGACTGGGGTCGAGGAGGTCGAAGGGACCTGAAGGGGCACAAGTCCATGGGACCTAACGGGATGCACCTGCAGGTTCAGAGGGACTGGTGGAGGAAGTGGCTTGGCCACTATCATCCATCGTGTTTGAGAAGCTGAGGCAGTCCAGAGGAGTTCCCACTGACTCTGAAAGGGGAAACATAACCCTCTTCTTTTAGAAAGAGGAATAAGGAAGATCCAGAGAACTACAGGTGGTGAGGTCTCACCTCAGTGCCTGGAAAGAGCTTGGAGCAGATCCTCCTGGAAGCTATGCTAAGGCACATGGAAAATAAGGAGGTGATTGGTGGTAGCCAACATGGCTTCACTAAGGGCAAATCATGAGAACTTAAGAGCCCCTTCCAGTCCTAAAGGTACTACAAGAGAGCTGGAGAGGGACTTTGGACAAGGGCCTGGAGTGACAGGACAAGGGGGACTGGCTTCCCACTGCCAGCAGATAGGGTGAGATGGGATATTGGGAAGGAATTGTTCCCTGGGAGGGTGGGCAGGCCCTGGCACAGGGTGCCCAGAGCAGCTGTGGCTGCCCCTGGATCCCTGGAAGTGCCCAAGGCCAGGCTGGACAGGGCTTGGAGCAGCCTGGGACAGTGGAAGGTGTCCCTGCCCACGGCAGGAGGATTGGAACAGATGATAGTCTCTTCCAAACCAAACCCTCTTGTGATACTAAAGCTCACCAGCATCAGAGGGAGTCTGTACTGCTGATGAAAGGGCTTTTAGGTGTGCTCCAGACAGGAGCCTCTTCAGCCATATATCCAATGGAAGCACTCTTTACATAAAATATAATTAAATTATAAAAGGTAACTGTGTGTGTGTAATCTTCCTAAGGCACCCAAGAATTTTAAAAGACCTTGCCCTGCTCACATTACTTACAGCACACTCTTGTTCCTCTTCTGCCCCAAGTTACAACCGTTGGCTAGTCAGAAACCTTAGCGTACCAGGTGACACAGCTGAAGAGCGTAAAAAACGGGAACCGAAACCAAACCCCAGTGAAGCACTACGTCCAGACAGCTCGAGTCCCGCTAGCACGGCATCACGGGCAGCACATGGAAATTGTCACGTTGATGCCGAGGTTTCCGTTGTCAGCAAAAAGGTGCGCGGTGGCGGTGTCAAAAACGAGGCAGTTGCTGTTGCGGATGGCCACGTGCACGCCGTCGTGGATGGAGCAGGGAGACGCCTCCCAGGTCAGCCGGTGGCAGCTGCTGTGCAGCTCCAGTCTGTACTGAAAGCTCTCTGCCTGCTTACGGGTGCCAATGAGCAGCACGGTGGCAAAAAACTGCTGGTGACCTTCACACTTCTCCTGCTTCTTCAGCACCAGCATGAAGTGGTGGCCGAAGCACGACTGCATCATCACCCAGTCCACCGCCCCTGGCAGGTTAATGTCCGTGGCAAGGAAAATGATGTCTTCTCCCTGAAGGGTGGTAATGCTTTTGTGGGCATGCATGAGGTGGGACATCACGGCTTCCAAGGATCCCTCCCAGTCACAAGAGGTACCAGGGCACGGGCAGGAGTAGGGACGGTACTCACAGATGGCTTCATGTTTTGGCTTTTCTGTGTGGTGGAGTGTCAGGGAGCAGCCTGTTGTGGCATACTGGAAAGAGACCAAACACAAGGCGTCAGCAAAGGCAGCAGCACTAGTATGTGCTGCTCCCACCCGTCAGCTGGAAACACAGGTGATCGACCAGAGCTCTCGTGCTCTTTGCAAATTTTGCATTACTTGCATGGAGCCCTGCATTCAAGCTGAGCTTTACTTAGTTTTTGTTTCCACTTAAAATGGATTCTTCTTGTCTTTTGTGGTTGTTTTTTCCTAACGCAAGCACTTAGATAAAATGGGCTGTATGGCTGAGTTGTTAGATCTGCTGCTGCAGTTAGATCTGATCCGTCCAGATCAGCTGGAGAGGTCCAGGCTTGGATATTCCTTTTCTTAAAAAAGAACAGAGGATTCTAGTTTCAACAACCGGGGTGGTGGGTGGGTGTCCTCTGCAGGGGGATGTGGGGGGGTGGTCTGGGGATGTGGATATGGGGGCGATGGCTGGGGGTTTTCCACAGGGGTACAGGGATGGGGGGTGATGGCTGGGGGTTTTCTGCAGGGATCAGGGGTGATGGCTGGAGGCTTTCTGCAGGGATACAAGGATCAGAGGTGATGGCTAGGGTTTTCTGCAGGGGTACAGAGATGGGGGGTGATGGCTGGAAGCTTTCCGCAGGGGTACAGATATCAGGGGAGATGGCTGGGGGTTTCCGCAGGGATACAGGGCTCAGGGGTGATGGCTGGGGGCTTTCTGCAGGGATACAAGGATCAGAGGGGATGGCTAGGGTTTTCTGCAGGGACCAGGGGTGATGGCTGGGGGTTTCCGCAGGGATACAGGGCTCAGGGGTGATGGCTGGAAGCTTTCCGCAGGGGTACAGATATCAGGGGTGATGGCTGGGGGTTTCCGCAGGGATACAGGGATCAGAGGTGATGGCTGGGGGTTTTCCCACGGGTACAGGGATGGGGATGATGGCTGGGGGTTTTCCCAGGGGTACAGGGATCAGGGGTGATGGCTGGGGGTTTTCCGCAGGGTTACAGGATGAGGGGTGGTCCGCCCGTCCCCCTGCCCAGCCCCTCATCCTTACCTTGCACGGGAAGAGGACAGCCGAGGCCACCTTCTCCATGGCCAGGTTCCTGATGTTGGGGGTGAGGGAGCCCCGGCAGGTGGGACAGAGGCTCAGCTGCTGCCGGCATTGCTTGCACACCAGGTGCCCGGCCTGGCACTGCAGGATGGGCGGCAGGACATAGTCGAAGCAGATGGGGCACTCGAAGAGCGAGGTCAGCTCCTGCTGCTGCTGCTGCTGCTGCTGCTGGGGCGGAGGAAGAGGAGGAGGCGGGGGAGGCGGCGGAGAAGCCCCGCCGGTCCCCGGCAGGACGGCGGCGGGGGACGGAGCGTGCTGCTGCTGCTTTCCGCAAGGCTTGCTAGGGCCGGGGCCGGCGGAGGACGGGCGGCTCATCGCGCCTCGCCACCGCCGCCACCATCGGGCCGCGCTGGAGGGGGCGGAGGCGGCGGCGGCGGCGGCGGCCCGCCCGGCGGCTGCCGCGGTGCGCGGGAGCGTCCCCTCGGGGGGACCGTGTGCCGTCAGCGGGACCGTGTGCCTTCAGCGGGACCGTGTGCCCTGTCAGCGGGACCGTGTGCCCTCAGCGAGAGCGTGTTCCTTCAGCGGGACCGTGTGCCCTGTCAGCGGGACGGTGTCCCCTCAGCGGGACCGTGTCCTGTCAGCACCTCAGCGGGACCTTGTGCCCTGTCAGCGGGACCGTGTGCCCTCAGCGAGAGCGTGTTCCTTCAGCGGGACTGTGTCCCCTCAGCGGGACCGTGTGCCCTCAGGGGGACCGTGTCCCCTCAGGGGGAGCGTGTGCCTTCAGCGGCACCGTGTCCCCTCAGCTGCACCGTGTCCTCTCACCGGCACCGTGTCCTGTCAGCCCCTCAGCTGCACCGTGTCCTGTCAGCCCCTCAGCGGCACCGTGTCCCACTGCCAAGGCCACCACTAAACCACTGCACCGTGTCCTGTCAGACCGTGTCCCCTCAGCGGGACCGTGCCCCCCCGCAGCCCGGGCCCTGTCCCGGTGTGGCGGGAGCTGTGCGTGCCCGGGGCTGCAGCTGGGGCTGAGCCGCGGCCCCGCAGCGGGGTCGCAGACCCCACGGCAGCTGTAACCAGCATCTCCTCATCCCGGCCCAGCACGATCTCTGGCTGGGTGTCACGGCTTCTTTTTATTTTTTGTAAAATTCAATAAATCTCAACCAAGGTTTTGGATCACTTACAGAACATTTATTGCTCTCAATTGTTGTTAGCAACGCAGTAAGGGTGTGATTTACAGGGCGTTTTGGAGTAATGACAATGAAAAAGGAAGTGGACAGTGGTTTCTGTGAGCTAGAAGCAATGTGCCCTGCCCATGCTTGTCAGATGAATGAAGGGCGCCAGGATTTGGCAAAGGCAGTAAATCACTGAATCACAGAGCAGTTTGGGTTGGAAAAGCCCTCTAACACCCAGTAAGTCCAACCATTACCCCAGCACTGCCAAGGCCACCACTAAACCATGTTCCCAAATCCTACATCTGCGCAGCTTTTAAGTCCCTCCAGGGATGGAGACTCCACCACTGCCATGGCAGCTGTGCCAGGCCTTGACTCTTTCCTTTTCCTGCCAGCTGTCGTGGGGAGCAGAAGAACCTGCATCCTACCACCTGCAAAAGGCGTGCAGTGGGACAGGGTTGCAAGTTGCTGTTCCCGCAGTGCACGCTTTTGCACTGGGTGTGATGCCTTATGGACAGGGTGTCCCTTCAACGCACCGAAGGCTGTTTGACTGGGGAGAGAGCTTTTTGTCCTCCAGACTGCAGTGAGCAGTGCAGCTGGTAGTGAGTGGGAGATGCCAGTACCCTTCAGGAGCAGGGGTCCATCCTGCTCACTGCTCAGAAGAAGGGGTCGGTCCCGTTCCAGCTGACGGTCGCACCTGCCCACTTGGTCCTGATTGCCATCTCCAGGGCTGGGCGCCTCTTCCCTGGGCTGCAGGGGCCTTCTCTTTGAGCCTCTTCCCAGTGATGTGAATGAGTGTCTGAGGAGGAAACGAAAAATAAATGTCTAAAAAAAAATCTTAAAAACCCAAAAGGCTCAAAAAGGCTTCAGTGAAGGCCAAAAGCAGAAGCTTCTGCAGCTGTGTTGGTGTAGACGTGCTGCTGTCCTGCCCCAGGGAGCAGGCAGGGTAAGCAGGGCCTCCCGGGCTGGGGACTGCCCCCCCAGGAAATTCCGGGCTCCTTGCACGGTGTGTTTGCATATTGCTTTTCTGAGCAGATGCTCAGATAGTATCTGTGGTTCTCACTTTGCTGTAAATGCTGCAGTGAAAGGAGAGCAAAAGGAAGGAGGCGCCCAGTGAGGAAGGTAAATGATGCACAGCAGCAGAGAAACAAGAGCCTTGCACCACAAGCACAAAACCTGGTTCACAACCCAAGCGCTGCTACAGGAGCAGTTTGTCTCTCCTGGGGGGATATGAAACTTGGTGAGGAACACGAGGGCCGTGGTGGCACCTGGTGCTGGGCAGGAAGAGAGGCTTCAGCCTCAGTCAGCCAGGCAGGTGGCTCCTGCTGCGCCAGCCTCGCTGCGCTGGTGTGCGGGTTTTATCTGGGATAGAATTCATTGCCTTCCCTGCGTCTGGTACAGAGCTGTGTTTTGGATCTGTGCTGAACACAGGGTTGGTTATACAGAGGTGATTTTGTTATTGCTGGGCAGTGCCAACACAGCCAAGGCCTTTTTGCTTCCTCCTGCTGCCACGCTGGTGAGAAGCTGGGAGTGCATGGCAGGCTGGGAGAAGACACAGCCAGGACAAGGGCCCAGAATGATCCAAGGGACACTCCAGACGTGTGACACCATGCTCAGTGTATGAAGTGGGGGCAAGGAAGAGAAAAGACTTTTGAGTGTGGTGTTTGTCTTCCCAAGGCACTGCTGTGTGTGTTGGGGCCCTGCAACTCCTGCCTGCCTATGGAGGAAGTGAATTCATTCTTTATTTTCCTGGTCGTGTGTGTGTGGCTTTTGCTTTTCTTGTTACACTGTCTATCTCAACCCACAAGTTCTTTAGGTCCTACCCTTCCAATTCCTCCCTGATCCTGCGGGTGGGGCAGAGAGGGAGCAGCTGGGAGGGGTAAAACCCCGGCAGCTGGGGAGAATGTTATTATAAATTTTGACTTAATCATGAAACAGTCCAGCTTCCTGGTGTGTTTAAACTTGGTATTGAGTATTTAACACAGGAACGAGTTGTCTGTGATGCCCATACCTCAGTCCCCGGTAAGTCTGGGTCCGTACCTATCGTCAGGCGGGCAGTTTGGGTCTGCTCCTGCTGCCCGCTGTAGAAGTACAGGTGGAAGATTCTCTCGGATTTCCAGTCGGAGAGCAGCCGGCTGTCGGTGCCGAAGAGCACGCCGTGCCTGCCCGAGAGGCTGCACAGCCACACGGGCAGCCGGGGCGTCCGCAGCCCGGGGCTCACCTGCGCGGGGGACGCTTGCCGGGAGCCCGGGCCGTGCCGAGGGTCCCGCTGGCCGGGGGCTGTCCCCGCGCTCACCTGCGGCTCCAGCGGCGCCCGCTCCCAGCGCAGGAAGCCCACGGGGCCCCGCTGCCACGGCGCCTCGCCAGCCCCGTGCCCAGCGCCGGGCTCCGGCTCCCGGCCGCCGCCGAGCTGCCGCGGGCTCGCCCGGCCTGTCAGCAGCAGGCTGAGCACGGCCTGCGGGAGCAGCCCGGTCAGCCCGGAGCAACGCCCCTTGCAGGTGATGGCCTGCTCCCCGCTCTGCCACGAGTAGGGGAACGCCAGGCTGCCAGTGGCGTTTTCAAAATTATTGTTACTATCATCATCATCACCATCTGTTTTTTAAGTGCACAGTCATGATTAAAATTGCAAAATATTTTTTTATGAACTTATGCTTCTTTTTTTTTTTTTTTCCTTTGGATTAATTAACAAGTGATAATTTTTTCCTAAATCAGACTAATAAAATAAATAATATTTATAAACTCGGAATAATAAAACCAGACCTCCTGAGACATGTGGCTGGTCCTACCTCTGTACAGGTGACGTTCCCAGAGCTGATGTTCAACAGAGGAGCTGTGTCACCCAAATCCTCTTGGACCCTGTGTGACCAAGCACAGATCATTAGGGCAGCGCTGGACCTGTGCCAGAGGCAGCACTGTACCTGCCTGCCTGGCCAACAGAAATGGGAGGAAAGGAAAAGGCTTTTCAGGAGATGTAACCAAACTACAGGGAAATGTTTAAAAAGCAAAAGGTACCTTTCAAGTGTCCTAGAGAAAAGTAAACTGTATAAAAATAGGATCACTCCATGGTTTCCTTCACCTTTGAACTGAAACAAGAAATAAGGCGTCACAGGGGAGGAATTATAGCCTGTAAATCATATTTAATTAAAACAATTCCTCTCCTTCAATACAGCCCTAGTTGTGAGTGTGTTGAGTTACATGAGTAAAGTGTTGTTCCAGGAAGATTTTGTAACTCATTTTCTTGAATAGGATCAGGTAAAAAAAGAAAGAAGAAACTTCCAGTTATTGGCTAAACGGGTTTTGTACTATTTTCCCCATATTTTTGCTGAGACTGCAAGGAATCACATCTTTGAATGATGTACAAAATGCTGCCCCTTTACCCAGTGTTTTTGGGCTGAGAGAGTTGGAATAATGGGTAAAGTCACAGGGGTTTACACGGGAGCAGGATCCCTTCCCATAGGAAAGGCTGGAAATGATCCATGAACTAACTGTACATTAACTGTGTGAACGTCCTGATGATGTTAACACTGCTGTGTCCAAAATGCCCAATGTGAATGGGAAATAAGATGTAGTTTAGCAAGAAAATAACTTGAATAAAGCAGCTATCCACTTACACAGTTTATGTGATCAGAGATGAACCCCTGAACAGCAGCTTTCTCCGAGAACTCGAACAGCCGGATCTGTTGGGCATGGCACCGTGAGGGTGGTGCAAAGGAGACATGAATTATACCAAAAAGCTGAGCTTTTGAATCCTATGGTTCTGTTAGTCAAGTGGAAGAACAAGGCAAAGGTTTGCTCTGCCCCTTCCCCAGCTGTGGGCTCTGGTGCTGTGCAGGGAGTCAGGGCAGCAGCTTTGTGTTGGCAGGATTCTCCTTTTTGCAGGAGAAGGAAGATGGGCTTTGGTCAAGGGGAGGTGGATGTATCATGGGCCGCAGCAAGACCTGGGTCTGGGGTGATCCCTGTTTGTAGGGCAACGTAAGTGGGGGAGCAGGTGCAGGAGATTCTATGTTTCGGGCCAGAGGTATCTCTAAGGAAAATCCCATTGGCAGAAGACCATTCCGTACTCACTCTCTCTGTGAAGCTGTTGGCCCTGTAGCCTTCACGTGGCATCGTGGTGATGGGGGCAGTGACGAGGCACACGACAGCTCTGCCACCTCCTCCTGCTGCCCACAGGGTCTCTGCCAGGGCCGTGGCCAGTGCCTGCCCCTGCTCCCCCCGCCCGACCCGGCACAGCCTGTGCCAGGGGGAAACCAGGGGCTGTGACTGTGACACCGCAGAGATGGGGGCACATGCCACTGTCCTGAAAGCAGAGGATCTGGTGGGAAGAACCCTTGCCAGGGGGTCAGCCAAGGCTTCTCTCCCAGTGCATATCCCCACCTGTACCTGCACACCTGAACCTGGATTTGGTTTGCCTCATCCCAGAGGCTGGCACTGACCAAGCAATGCATGGAAATAATTTTCATGTGGTCCCATGAGGCCCAGCAACTTGCCTTTCCAGGTGAGTACATTCTGTCTCTCTTGTGAAGAGCAGGTATGTGATGACGTGTGCTTGTACAGCAGCCAGAATGGCTCTCGTTCCTCCCTAGGAACAGAAAAACAGCCCCTGCCACCTGAGGAGTCTGAACGAGCACTTGTCATTCCCAGCAGTCCCTGGCCAGCGGGACAGCGAGAAGCCCTTATGGAGAAGGAGCTGCAGGGTAGCCCTGGCCATGAAGGCATCCTGTGGGTGGGTGCCCTTCCTCCCTCTGTCCTAGGGAGCAGCACCCAGCCCGGGGACCATGTGTGCTGGGAAGCCCCAAGGCTTGTGTTTTGTTCTCTCTGGCCTCGCAGCGAAGGGACAGAGGTGCTGAGGCAGCCCAGGGCTGATGTGGGGCTGCGCACAGGAGTGCCTGTGCCTGCTCCCCACCGTGCTGACACCCACCAGGGCTGTGCTCCCTCTGTGAGCACCGAGCTCTGGAATGTGGGGAGTGGCACCCGGGGCTGTACCCAGCATTCCAGCCTCTGCACAAGGTGGGGGGATTTACAGTTCCAGTGCGTATCCTGGCCTTCTGCTTTTTTGGGTGCAGCGTTGTGATGGTAAATAAGGAAGAAGAAAACCTCCATCTCAGTGAATGATAGTCTAGGTGACTTCACTTGTTGGACGTCTAGGTGGAGCAGGAATAATTAGGTAAGTCTAATTCTCAGAAAAGATACAGGCTTTTTGCAACCTGCTGTATCTCTCCTGAGCACATGTGTGGGGTGCAGGTGTGCAGAGTACAGGTGTGCAGAGTACAGGTGAGCAGGGTACAGGTGTGCAGAGTACAGGTGTGCAGGGTACAGGTGAGCAGGGTACAGGTGTGCAGAGTACAGGTGTGCAGGGTACAGGCTAGCAGGATACAGGTGAGCAGGGTACAGGTGTGCAGGGTACAGGTGAGCAGGGTACAGGTGTGCAGAGTACAGGTGTACAGGGTACAGGCGAGCAGGATACAGGCGAGCAGGATACAGGTGAGCAGGGTACAGGTGTGCAGGGTACGGGTGTGCAGAGTACAGGTGTGCAGAGTACAGGTGAGCAGGGTACAGGTGTGCAGAGTACAGGTGTGCAGGGTACAGGTGAGCAGGGTACAGGTGTGCAGAGTACAGGTGTGCAGGGTACAGGCTAGCAGGATACAGGTGAGCAGGGTACAGGTGGGCAGGGTACAGGTGTGCAGAGTACAGGTGTACAGGGTACAGGCGAGCAGGATACAGGCGAGCAGGATACAGGTGAGCAGGGTACAGGTGTGCAGGGTACAGGTGTGCAGAGTACAGGTGAGCAGGGTACAGGTGTGCAGAGTACAGGTGTGCAGAGTACAGGTGTGCAGAGTACAGGTGAGCAGGGTACAGGTGTGCAGAGTACAGGTGTGCAGAGTACAGGTGTGCAGAGTACAGGTGTGCAGAGTACAGACGCGCGGGGTACAGGTGTCTGAGGTGCAGGTGAGCAGGGTACAGGTGTGTGTGCTGCTGAGGCCCTGCTCCAGCTGCCAGCTCCCAGGCGTGTCAGTGGCAGCGGGCAGCTGGTGCCAGGCGCTGTGTGACACTCTACCTTTCCTGCCTGCAGCGCGTAGGCCAGATCAGAGTGCGGCTGGTGGAACCTGAAGTGTGCTGCTGCCCACTCACAGCTGAAAACGGGGGCCGTGTTCCTGAAGAGCAGCTCCTGCAGCCTCTGTGGAAGAGGAGGCACAGGGGCCAGGGTCAGAGCTCTCCTGGCATGAGGGGTCTGTCCCACAGGGCTCTCGGGGTGCAGGTGCCACGGGTGCCCTCAGCCAGAGCAGCGGCATGGCATCTGCCTAGAGCCAGGCCTCAGCTTCAGAGCCAAGGTGGTGTTTGAGCTCAGTGCAGGGACTTCACACAGCACTCAGCCACTCTGGTGAAGCTTGGTTGTAGCGTGTAATAACTTACATTTGGGTACAGTGCACATTTTGGGGAAGATTGCACCGGGGCCTGTCCTGCCATTGCCTGCATATCTGCCGAGCTGCTGGACAACAGCACCTGGCAGCAGTGCTTTCGGGGCCAGGCACTCAGCAGGAGCTGAAATCCCTCAATGATTGTGTTGAAGGCCTTTCCAAGCCAAACAACTCTAAGATTCCATGATCCTGCCTCCTGTCCTGAGGCTGTTTGTCAGGGAAGCCCCCAAGAGCAAGGAAATGTTGCAACTCTAAGATTCCATAATCCTGCCTCCTGTCCTGAGGCTGTTTGTCAGGGAAGACCCCGAGAGCAAGGAAATGTTGCCTGTTGTCATCTGACTGGTTCTCTCCTGAGAATTATTGTGTATCAGCTTTAAGGTTGCATTCCAGCCACGTTTGTTAAGAGTCTCCTAAATAATCCATCCCCATTCCACACCCTGTTCAGCTGACAGCAGGCTGAAGGCTGCAGTCAGGGCACCAGGAAAGGCTCCCCAGCCTCCTTCCCTTGAGGAGATTCAGTTTCAGCTCATAGTTAATTCAGCAGGCAGCTCACCGTTGCCGTGTCCGGGGAGATGGGGCTGCCTCCCGTGCCCTGGGGGAGCAGGAGGGGCTGGGGGACGGTGGAGGGGGGCTGTGGCCCGGGGCACTCCCCGGCTCCGGGCTGTCCCTGGCCAGCGCTGCTCCGTCCGTGCTGCAGGAGAGGAGCACACAGTGCATCGTGCATCACCCGCGGCTGCTGCTGCAGCACCCAGCGTGCCCCAGCGCTGCCAGGCTGGGCACGGCACCCGGGCTGGCACGGGCTGGGGGCACGGGCTGACCTGGACTTCCAGCTGGTTTCAGACATTCCCAACGCATCCCTCCGAGCTGATGACTGCAGCAGGTAACATTGCTGCGTTTGTCTGAATTACAGGGAATACCCTCCAGTGCCCCCCAACCTAGGGGCATAGCAGGCTTTCCAAATACTCCCATTTTAAAGATGTTGGTTTGTTTTCTAAAACTCATAGTGAAAACCATTAGTTTTTGATGGAAAGGTTAAACAAGTGTAGGACCGGTCTGCCCATTTGACTTCAAAATACCTGAAGTCTGCTTCTCGAAGAAGCAGCATGAGAAATGAATCTCCATAGATACCTGTGCTGCAGGTATGGACGTGTGACCTCCTCAGTTGCCATCTAAGGACAGCCCAAAACTCACCAGACAAACAGAAAATATTACCTTTGGAAAAGGAGTTACCTGATGAGTCGTGTTGTTGATTTCCAAGCTGAAAGCATAAAATAAAGTACAAATGAAAACACCCAACAGAGGTATTACTAGTGTGTGGAGAAACTGGAGCCCAGCCAGAAGAGAGCCCCAGAACAAAGGAAGAATTAGACCTGTAGCCTTTTCATTACCGAGTACACGAGGACCTTTTGTCATTGTCACATAAGTTTTGTAATAAAACATGAAAAAAATCCATTAAATAACCACCTGGAATTAAAACTGTGTTAAAGAAGCAGAATAAAAGCCTTACCCACGGAAACTAAAGATTTCTCTCCATTTGCTCAGGTCAGAGATCCTGCTGGCGATCTCCTCCAGCGGGGTGGGCGCAGCGTGCCCGGCCCCCGGCTCACCCATGGCAGCCTCGGTGCTCCCGGAGCTGCTGCGGAGCCGCTGTGCCCCGCGGTGCCCCGAGAGAGACACCGACCGCGCTGCCGCCGCGGCGGAGCCCCGGGAGAGCCGGGCGGCATCAATGATTAATGCCGCAGCAGCTCGGGGGGCTGCGGGGGCTGCGGGGCTGGAGCGGGGCAGGAGCGGGGCAGGAGAGGGGCAGGAGAGGGGCAGGAGAGGGGCAGGAGAGGGGCAGGAGCGGGGCAGGAGAGGGGCAGGACCGGGGCAGGAGCGGGGCAGGAGAGGGGCAGGAGCGGGGCAGGAGCGGGGCCTTTTCCAGCACGGGGCAGGAACAGGGGCATTTTCCAGCATTGAGCAGGAACAGGGGCATTTTCCAGCATGGAGCAGGAACAGGGGCATTTTCCAGCACAGGGCAGGAACAGGGGCATTTTCCAGCACGGGGCAGGAACAGGGGCATTTTCCAGCACTGAGCAGGAGTGGGGGCATTTTCCAGCACGGGGCAGGAGCAGGGGCATTTTCCTGCATGGGGCAGGAGCAGGGCATTTTCCAGCATGGATCAGGAACGGGGGTGTTTCCCAAAGTGGGGTGGGAGGGGGCATTTTCCAGCATGGAGCAGGAACAGGGGCATTTTCATGGATGCAAGGAGGTCCAGGGTCCGTGCTGGGGCTCCCCCTGGGTCCTTCCTGGGGTTCCCTCAGGGTCCGTGCTGGGGCTCCCTCACAGTTTGCACTGGTAGATCATACCTGCTCTTCCAGCCCGTCAAACCCACAAAGATAGTTTTAATTTTATTTTGCTGGTAAGAAGTTGTTGTTTGCCTTAGGAGTAGCTGGGCTGATGCTGGGGTGCAGGGTGGGATGTGGGGGTGGGCTTTGGGCACAGGGACCCCTGTGAGGACTCCCAGACCCCAGGCTGGGGCTCCTCTTGTCTGCACAGTAAAGGAATGTGTTTGGGTTTGCTGTGTAGTAAACAATACTACAATAAAAAATGAGATGCAATACAAATGATGCTTTAAGAACATACATTAACATTAGGAGGAATACGCATATAGATTATGAAGAAAATTATGAAAAAAGCTGGGAGTTGTGCTGACTTGTAGAAGCCCTTCCACGCTGATAAAATCCAGGGAGATGTGGGGGCAGAGCTACCTTGGGAAAGATGCAGCTGACAAACCTTTGCCACAACCCGGCAGTGTTTTGCCTTTCACAGTAAAAACACAAAAATCACATCAAAGTCAGTAAGGCCTTGTGGGCTGGTAGGTGCTGAGGCACAGAGGGCTCTGGTACCTGTGTCTGCTCTGTGGCTGGGCACTGGGTGGGTGCTGGCTGGGACTGCTCTCACCCCAGCTGGCAGGGATTGCTCCTCACCCACAGCTGGGCACAGCCCCTGCGGATAAATGGGGCAGGGGCTCTCTGCCTCTGCTTCTTCTGAAGGCTGTGGCTGTGTCCTGTGAGGAGCTGCGCATCTCCAAGGCACCCAGGTAACCCCAGAGAGGCAGGGTTTGGTGTATGGTGCTCTGCCTGGGGAAGCAGCTCTTGCTTTAGCTGACTTGGGGATGTCCAGGGGTGAGGGCTGAGGTGTCCATCTGCTCTGGCTTCCCTGTGTTTGTTCCTCAGCCCTGCTGAGCTGCAGCCTGCACGGGAGCCTGTCTGCTGTGTTATTGCTGCCCTTCACCGGGGTTCTGACGGGGTTTGTTGGTATTGTTTGATGAAAACTTGCAGGGCTGTTCTCTGGAGGGGCAGTGGAAGGTGGAGGTACCTGGGCTCACTCCCGTGGCTCTGCCCTGGGAAATGCCCTTTTCCTGGTGAGCTGCAGGGGGTTTGTTCAGCTCTGCCAAGCCTGGCTGCCTCCCTCAGGGAAGCAGGAACATGGGGCATCTCCCCTGCAGCTGCTGTGCTGTGCCAGCTTTGTGCCAAGCTGCAGCAGCTGCTGGGGAAACGAGGGCTCCCAGGACTTCGAGTTTGGAGCAGAGTTTGGGTTGTTAAAAGCAAAAAACCCAGAGAGTTTCATGGAGAGAAATGATGCTGTTGCCATGCATGTGAAGCCAGATCAAAGTGCAGGTGGTTGGGCTGTGCCCTCTGAGCTGGAGTCTGAGGGGTGCTGGGGCAGGGCCTGGGCGCTGTCCTGTCCCTTGCTGGGTGTCCTTGGGCCCTGCTGCTCTGACGTGGTCAGGCTGCATCCTTGCCTTCACCAGGGCTGAAGGGCAGAGCTGCTGCTGGTGACTGCGTGCTTCTCCTGCAGCCCATTGATTGGGCTTTCCAGATTCAGTGCAATGCTACTGAGATTCCTGTTTTTCTTCACACCAGCCACTTTTTAAACAGTTTGCAGAAAAAAAACTGTCTTAAGACCTTACTCCAAGAAAGAGGGCTTTTCCATCCAGACATTACCATACAGCACATCTTCTTTTGTTCACTGCTTACACCATATTAACACTTATTTGAAACTTCCCTTTTTTTACCTTCCCTAGAGCAATCATTCACAAGTTGGTACATCTGGTGGTTGTTGATGTAATAGTGACAAATTTCTCTGCTTGAAATGTTCTTAAATCCCATCATTTTAATACATCAAGTCAACTGCTCCTGTGGTTGTTCCCAAATCTTTTGACTTTGAAAAGGGAAATTCAAATCCAGCAAATCGGATTAGCAGGGCATTGAGGAAGTGCACCAGGGAGCAAACCAGGATGGTCCAGAAGGAATTTGCAAACTGCTCACTGTGAGTCTTGAATGTAAAAGTTCCCTCTTTGAAATTAGCAATTTTCTCTGAAAGGTGGTGGATCTTCACCTCTGAGGAGAAGAGAATCATGATGAGGCAACCACAGGAACCTGAAAGGGAGGGGGAGATGCTTATCACCTCAGCAATCCCTCAGCCCTGCTGCATGATGTGTACTGCAGCCAAATACCACAGGGAGAGTGTTTGTATGGCCCCATAGCTGCAACAGGGATTATTTATGGAATCCAAGCCAAGGGCTGTTGAAATGGGTAAGCTTTTCTAATTGAATTTGCCTCAGGAGCAGGAATATTTATCATGGCTGCTTTAGTGCCCTGAGCTAGTGAAGTATCTGTGCTCACATCCAGCTTTAATTTGCTCATTGTCCCGTTGGGCATAATGGAGCTCTCTGTGTGCCTGAACACAAACGTGTTCTGAAGTCCTCTGTTAAATTATGGTTGTAATGTGCAACACCTTGTGAAGTCAGGGTAAATCTGCTGTCAGCCAAGCCAGCAGCCCAGGGAGCAGGTGTGTGGCTGTTATCCCTGCGTGGCAGTGGTTCTTGGAGAGCAGGAGCTGCTGCCAGCCTCTGGCTGCTCAGCTCTCCTGTCCTTGGCAAGGCTGTGCTGCTCGGTGTGCTGACCCTGTCTGGAACCCTCCTGTTGTGGCACCAGCTGCTTCACTGGCATATTTTGGTTGTTTCCCCCCCTTTTCCTACTCTGGGGTGGCTCCTGGTTCTGACTGTGTGTGGGGTGTCAGTGATGCCACCCCAGCTCTGGGTCCCTGGGACCCTTCTGCTGTGACTTCCTGCAGCTGCTTCCCCATTCCCATCCTGCCACCCCCCTCTGAGGGATTTCCCCACTTTCTCTCTCAATTTCAATTTGGAAAACATGTGTTTTCATGCGGCAGAGCCACCCACCTTCCTCCTGGTTTGCTTTTGCCAATTTAGAGCCAATGCAGCCACAGTTTAACGCGCTGTCCCCTGCTGAGGAGTGGGTGATGCTGAGCAGTGCCAGCCTCAGCCCAGCCTGGGTACTCACAGGAGATGAAGCTCCACAGGTACAGCCCCACAGGGCCGTGCAGCGTCTCGTAGGGGCTGCCAAAGGCATTGAACATGAAGAACCCTGCGCCCACCAGGGCAAAGACAATCAGCACTGTGCAGAAGACAATGACACTGACGTGGATACTTGCAGGGATGATTCTGAGCAAATCTGGAAAAACTGAAAACAAAACAAACACAGCATTATTACACACATTAGGCAAAGTTGTCTCTGATGTCAGGCTGGGGGTTCCTGCTCATTCATAGTGATGTTTTGGGTCCTGCTTTTCTAAATGCAACCAGATGAAATAATTCACTAGAAATGGCTTTTCGTGGCTGTTTAGAGGCAGAAAAACTCTGAGAAACTCAGAAGCATAGGCTGGCCAGGAGAGAGAGAGGCTAGCTCCAGGGAAAGCCTCTCCTCCCCTTCCTGAGGGTGTTATTTGCTCCTCACTGTGAAGAGCATCTTTTGGGGCAAGCCAGGAAGCTGCATTTGAGGGGCAGGTCTGGCACAAGGTGTCACCCAGGTCTCTTCCAGTGCCAGTGTTATGGGGCTGATCTCCCTTGGCTGAAGGCTTAGCCATCCCCTCCTCTCTGGGGAGAGGAAGCTTTTTTTCATTCATGATCATGAGGTCCCACAAAGGGTTGTGATGTGGGAAAGGAAGTTATGCTGTGATTGTTGTTGCACAAATTCAGGAATAATTTATTCTAAATATTTTTATGCAGCTTTTAAGCTACTGTTTCAAATTGTGGTCCTGTTTGTCTAGGACACAGAGATAGACATTCAGAGAGCAAGAGAATGGTTTTTAAAAATTCCTGTTTGTTTGGCCAAAAGGAGGTGTCCTGGAAGGAGCTGTGAAATACACTTCACTGCTCCTGCTCTCTGGGGGCATGACTAAAGTGAGGTAATAACGCCTGATGCTGCTTTGCTGTGGTTTAATGTGTGGAGAGTAAAGCAGCCTCACATCAATTACTCCTCCGTGTATAGTCTGTACCAGCAAACTGCTCTGCAGCTCCATGCAGGAGCACAGGGCAGCAGGAAATGGGGTACCAAGTCCATTTATCTCCCTGACTAAATGAGAGGGAAATCAATGAAACAAATGTCTGCAGAACCCACGAAGCTGAAGCAGGCCAAGCGCAAGGTGCTGATGTGGGCCAGGGCAATCCCAGCACAGGCTGAGGCTGTGGCTGCCCGAGGACGAGGACGGGGGCTGCAGGGGGAGAAGCTCCTGGTGCTCTGGCACCCAGAGCCTGCCCTGCCCGGGGCAGCGTGAGCAGCAGGGCAGGGGGGACTCTGCCCCCTGCCCTGCTCAGGTGGGCTCCATCTGCAGGGCTGCCCCCAGCCCTGGGGCGCCCAACACCAAAACAACAGCCTGAGGAAGGGAAGGCTCCAGGGACACCTCGAGCCCTTCCAGTGCTTCCCTCTGCAGGATTCCTACAAGGAATAGCATTAGCTCCTGTGGCACTGTCTGATACTTTGGGAAAACATGCAAAACTGAGTGTTTAATAATACAATTTTGTATGGTTTGTTTTAAGAAGACAAGTTATGGTGTGGTATTGAATCTTCCCCTGGGCACCTACCTCTATAGCTGGTTCTGTCATTAACATTTTATATGTGATGTATCAGGAAAAATTAATTCCAGAAGCAATGTTGTCTTGAAAGTTAAGCATTCCTTCATGGTCCTGAATGAACCCATGTCTGCTGTGCACGGCAGAGACCTTTAGAAAATGAACCACTGACCTAGAAACTGATGGGAATGAGTGGGAACAAATGGAGCAGAAGTTTTCCCCAGCTGAACTGGGTTTGCTGGCAGAGCAAATTCCTATTATAATTAAAAGAGATACAGTGGTCAGAGGGGAGCACTTAATGGGAACAAGCGCAGAACTAAATCATTTAGCCTATTTTCTGTGTCTGTTCTGCTCAGACGTGCTGCAGCGCAGTGAGTGCGTTAAGCTGTGGCTGTGTATTTTATAAGTTGATCCTGCTTTCTGGAATGCTGCTGGTGAGCTTCCAGGGTACCGAGGTGATGGGAGGGGGCCGCTGCAGCCCCTGGGAACAGGAGCAGCATGTTGTCCTCAGTGCTCTGTGAGGTGAATGCTCCTGACCCCTCAGAGCTGTCACTGACTGAACCTGAGCGTCAGTCCCAGAGCTGCTGGCAGCTGGACCAGCCCTGGGGCATAAGCAAGTGTCACCTACAGCACAAACCAAATCCTTGGATTGCAGACCCCTCTGAAAATACGGCCACAGTGCAATAACTGCGCACTGGGATGGCACACCAAGCAACCAGCAGGGAACTTCAGCAGTACAAAAAGACTAGTGATGGAATTTAGAGAGAGCAAATACTGATACCATATCAAATTAGCTTGGTTTACTACTTTTGGAAAATGTTACATAGTAAATAATTTCTGGTACCTAGTCTGGCAACCTAGTCTTGTATTAAGTCACAGGTGTGAGCAATTTGCATGTGCTGTTATAGCAGAATAATTGTGACCTGTGTGCTGCAGAATAATTGTGATCAGGGGAGGTATTGTACACACAGCAACTGGCTTTTACTGCCTGTTCTGCCTGCTGCTGGATACAACTGTGTCTCACTTCATAATTTTTTTATCGATCTTCTTATCCTTGAAGATTAATAGGTTATGAATGTAAAGTGAAGCCATTACTAATACTTTGACACTCTGTGTCAGGTACAAAGTCAGCCAGCATCCCCCAGACAGCCTCCCCCGGTCCTTCTTCCAATTAGAGCCACAGATTGCAAACTTTTGGGCTGCTTTGTTTCTCAATAGCAGCCAGTGCCCAGCTCTTTCCTGAGGCTCTTGACAGCACAGAGGTAAAGTTGTAATGCTGGCACACAGAGGAAGACAACAGAGATTAATGAAACCCCCCAAATGTTCTTTTTAAAGAAACAGTATAAATCTCTTGGGATGCGGCTATCTGCGCGACTGCAGTAATAGATTCTTGAAACATTAGCCAGGCTGTATCAGTACCATAAAATCAGTACCATAAGATCAGTCAGATCTCCAGACCCTGGAGATCAGCGCTCGCTGCGGGGCGCGGCTCGGCCGGCTCGAACGCCGTGGGTACTCACATGAGAACTGCAGGGGTCTGCCCCCGAGCCCGCACTGCCGCACTCGCTGCCCGGAGAAGAGCCCGTACTGGATGTGGCCGATGAACTTGTGCAGCTCGGGGCCGCTGGCGTTGACGAGCAGCGCTCCGGTGCTGCACAGGGTCGTGCCCCTCACCCAGAGCTGGCTGCCCACGGCCGCCGCCGCGCCCAGCGCGCAGGCCAGGCTCAGCACGCCGGCTGTGCAGAACAGCAGCTTCTTCTGCTGCGCCGGCATGCTGCACCGGGGCTGGGGCGCTGCTCCGCGGGGCGAGCCAGCTCCGAGCGCCCAGCAGCCGGGCCCGAGAGCCCCGGGGCCGGCCAGCCCCGTCCGAGGGCCCCGGGGCCGGCCAGTCCCTACTGAGAGCCCCGGCTCCCTGCCAGCCCAGTCCGAGAGCCCTGGGGCCGGCCAGTCCCTACCGAGAGCCCCGGGGCCGGCTGGTCCCTACCGAGAGCCCCGGCTCCCTGCCAGCCCCGGCTCCCTGCCAGCCCCGTCCGAGAGCCCCGGCTCCCGGCCAGCCCCGTCCGGAGGGTGCTGTAAAGGCTGGAGGGTGCTGTAAAGGCTCTTCTTCCCCGTGTCCTTCCGTACAGCTTTGCAGACGTTTCAGTGCATCCCCTGTCACTTGATAGCGAGGGTTTAGGATGACAGATCTCTGTAATTTGATGAGTGCTCTGCTCGTACCAGCCCCCGGGGAGTGGATGAGTTGGGGGTTCAGACGACGAGCTTGGCTGCTCTATCTGATTATCTGCTCTGTAACATCAAACTCCTTGAATTTCATTAGCAGGTGTTTGGAGAAAAGAAGAAATATCTGACTTTAAAAATACACTGTTGGAGTAAAATTTGAAAGTGGAAGACATAAGCGGATCTGTTTTGTGACTCTACCCGTGTTTTGTCAGTGTCTGTGCACACAGCCAGCGATGGTCGCAGCTCAGGACCCTCTGCACAGACCTGCTCCATCAATCGGGGCTTCAGGGGCTTTGCAGAAACAAGCAGAAGGTAGTGCTGAGGGATGGCACGTCTGGGAGCATTTCCAGGCAGATAGATGTGCCAACAAGGCATTATGTGGAGCTCAGAGCAGGTGGGCTGGAGCGAAATACTTGACAGGGTTGTCTTTGTGTTCCCAATACACTTTTATGGTAATCAGAGAGAAACTGAGGAAGGAGAGCTGTCACAGCAGGCAGGGGAAATTTCTGAAAGTTCTTAACCCCAATGCCTGGGTGACATCAGGACTTTGGCACACGGATGTGCTGTGGTTTTCAGCAGGTAGGGTGTGATGTGCTTTATTTTTTGGGTGCTGGCTTTTTGTCTTTATTTGCTTTTGGAGCCAAATTATGTGGTTTTGTACTGTTGCACATGCATTTGTATCCTTTTTCCTTCTCTCTGTCTGTGTTCCAAAGTTCTTGTGACTTCCAGATATAATTGTAGTCATGTTCTCTCTTTGTGTTTCAAAAGGCAGTGTTGGTAGGGAAACTTCCGAAAGTCATTGCTCTGTTCTTAATTCAGGTTTTCTGCCATTGTTTGTCCAGTGGTGCTTTTTGAGCTGAGGTTGGGTCGCCTTGAAAACACGCTGCTTTGGCCCCTTAGAGCTGCGCTCCCCAGCTCAGGGCACCAGACATTTTTATGCAGGTGTGTCCATCTGATTTGCAGGAAATCTTCTAATGGCACCACATTGTACTGTGAGGTACAATGAACGCTGAGTGGGAATTGTTGGACGTGGAAGCAGCGTGCCTGTGTTTGCACAGCAGGCACAGAAGATTTGAGCGAGAGCAGAAGCAGAGAAGGTGCTGACTTTTTTCTGAGAGAAAACTGAGCTTTGAAAGTTTTAACTTTACCTTACCAGATCTGGAGCTGAGAAGAAATTAAACCCCCAAATTATGTGCAGTTTCTTAACCACCTCTGGAATTTTCAAGACTCAGTTCTTTCTTGGCTCAAGCTCAACTTTTGAAACTGGTGCAGAGTGCTTGATGGATGGTGCCTGTGCATTTTGACATTTGACCTTCCAAAGCCACGGGGAATGGTTTGGGCTGGAAGGGACCTTAAATATCGTCCAGTTCCGTCCTCCTGCCGTGGTCGGGGAACCCACACATCCACCTCACCAGTGCAGGTTCAGGTGTCACCTGCTGGGCAGGCTGTGGTGAGCACCCTAACCCTGCCCTGCCCTGGCCCGGGGGTGAGGGGAGGGCACTGCCGAGCCCCGGGCAGGGGTCCCGAGCCCCGGGCAGGGGTCCCGAGCCCCGGGCAGGGGTCCCGAGCCCCGGTCAGGGTCCCGGAGCCCCGAGCCCCGGGCAGGGGTCCCGAGCCCCGAGCCCCGGGCAGGGGTCCCGAGCCCCGAGCCCCGGGTAGGGGTCCCGAGCCCCGGCAGGGTCCTGAGCCCTGAGCCCCGGGCAGGGTCCTGAGCCCCGGGCAGGGTCCCGAGCCCCGGGCAGGGGTCCCGAGCCCCGGGCAGGGTCCCGGAGCCCCGAGCCCCGGTCAGGGTCCCGAGCCCCGAGCCCTGGGCAGGGGTCCCGAGCCCCGAGCCCCGGTCAGGGTCCCGAGCCCCGATCCCCGGGTAGGGGTCCCTAGCCCCGGCAGGCTGCCCAGCCGCCCAGCGCCGCTGCACGCCGGCCGCTCCCCGCGCTGCAGCGATGTCACCACGCGCGGTGCTGTTTGTCTTCTTTTTGTCTCCTGTTTCCTTCCCCTTGGTAAACTTCTGCTTTTCCCTGGCAGAAGAGGCTGTAAGTCACGAGGCTGTACACTGTTTTCACCCTGCAGCTCGTGTAAGCCCTAAGGATTTTTGTTTTGTAAATAGGATGTCCACAGCTAGGACATCTGCCTGCTGACATTGTTATTGTTGTTAAAAATGCTCTTTGAAGGACAGCTGTCTGCTGCCTGTGTTTTGATGTAAGCCCAGCTGACGCATGTTTTTGTTTCCTGTCTGTTTTTCCAGTTTTAGTATCTTGGTTTGAGCCTTTATCATGGATCACACGTGTTTTAGTGGTGGGCTTGGCAGTGCTGTATTAATGGTTTGAGGTGACGATCTTAGAAGCCCTTTCCAACCTGCATGACTCTGTGGTTCTGTCCCAGCTGGCTCTTTAGGTTTCCATGCAGCAAGGGGCTCCCTGCAGGCTGCGTGCAGCCCGAACCCAGCACTTTGTGCAGCTGACAGAGCCTCAGCTCCTTGCTCCTGAAGTTTCAAAGAATGCCAGCAGCTGTTGAGTTGTTTTGGTGGGAAGGTCTGATGGCCCATAAAGGTGTCACATCACAATGAATACACGACAGGGTTGCTGCCTGCTGGATGTGGCCACGTGCACTGAGCAATGGAAGGACCTCTCATTTCTGGTTCTCTCTGACTCGTGTGGGTTCCTCAGGAGATTTGCCTGAGCAGCAGGACTCAAAATCTAGAAATCTGTTCTGTGTCATAAAGCAGTAAATTCACTTTCCTTTTAGATGGGATTGCAGAGAAAACTACTAACCTTCTTTCTGGCCACAAGTATTTTCCATGTGACACTCCTTGACTCAAATCATCTCTTGTGCAGAGCTCCAGAATGATTTTCACAGTGGTGATTATTGTCAAGGTGTAAATCCAGTAGACAGTCTGTATTGCTACTGTCAGTTTTCAGTTGGAATAAATTTTATTACACCAGTCCAGACTTGGAACACCTGTGGCACATCTGCAGCCCCAGTCGGGCAAGGAGTCCCTGTGAGGGCAGGAGCTGATCTGGGCAGAAACAGAGTTCTCTGAAGGGTGATCTGGAAAATGCTGTAGTGACTTTCTCATGTCTGCAACAGCTCCTCTGCGAGCTCACCTGTCATTTTCCTAGGGCTTAAATCCACTCAAATTTCACGTAACATTTGAACTACATGTATTTTATTATCTGTCATAGTCTGTCACAGGTGCCACCATGGAAGGGAACTGAGAATGAGTGGCTTTTTCACCTCTTTAATCCATTTGAAGATGTTTAGAATGGTTGGTAAAACTCTTGAACTTGTCAGTCTCCTGTGTAGCAAAATACAGCCTGGTTAAGTACAGCTTAAAATACCCCTCAGCAGTGGGGGGAACCTGGTCATGCAGCTTGGTGGCAGGATTTTCTGGCCAGTGTGCAGCAGTGAATGTGATGTGACAGAAGGGAGTGATCGATTTTTTTTTTTTTTAAGGATTGGTGTTGAATTTCTTGAAATCACTATGTGGAATCCTGGAACTCCATGGATATTTATGCACTTAGGTCTCTGCCTTTAAGGCTTAGGGCTCTGCACTTGGGTTTAGTCTTGTTTCTGCTGTTGTCTTTGAAGTCCATCTGAATTCTTATGATGCCAAGAGATGTTTTTCACTTTAGAGTGAAAAATTCCAGTTTTGAATGTGGTTCTCACGAATGGGGCTTGTGACAAATGCAGAGAGTTGATATTTGTCTTTCTGAGATCACTTTTCTGGAAATAGACAAACAAAACTCCCCACCCCACTGTGGGAAAGGAGCTCTGACGGGTCTTGGAGTCACAGAGCTTCCATTTAACATTTGTAACTACATTTGTGAGAGACCCAAATCTGACTGTGCTGAGACAGCAAAGAGAGACAAGATGAGCAAAATAATATCTGCAGAATCAGTCTGTTTCCCCAAGCACTGAGAAAATAGAGCATGTTCTGAGCAATCTTGTAACAGTTTTAATAATGCAATTAGCATTGCTTTGGTTGCTCAAATTGCTTATTTACCTGTCTGGGTGTTTTCATCCTTAACTGTTCTAGCAAATCCAACACCAGGTTCCTGCTCATCTAAAGGAGTTAAAGTACAAAATCTCTCTGGAATGAAAAAACTTATTCTGTGGCTCAAATAACTGATAGTGACCTTAAGAGGAGCACACGGCTTCCAGCCTGCTTTTCCCTGTGACCTGCTGCTGCTCTCTGGGGCTCTGTGCTCCTCCAGGCTGGACCAGCTGCAGTGCCAGACCCCAGATGAGACAAACCCAGAGCCTGATTATTCTGAGAGGTTGATTGCTGGGAAGGATGAAAGTTTGACAAGAAAGTCTCACAAATATGTATGCTTGACGGAAAGATTTTTGAATGTAGAAGCTGAGGAAGGAATAGAGATGGAAGCAAATTTTGATCTAGAAGAAAAGAATTGCTGAGCCAATCTTACTGGATAACCAAAGGGTATGTTAGTTAGAAGGGGGTTTTTATGACTTAGAGCAAAGGATAAACCCACCTCAAACAAGAAGACGCTTTTACCAAGCAGAAAGACAGCACAGGCAAACAAGTCAGCAAATGTTGCAAGTAGAAAAAAATTGCATCCAGATTTGCAGAGTTTGTGAAGCGAAATGATTGCAGGTACTCCAGGGGTTTAGGATGCTGGAGAAAGCAGCCTGGTCCTGTGCAGGTGTCCCTTGTCCTGGGAAGGGCTGAGAGGGTCCGGGTGAGGGCAGGCAGTGCTGCTGGGGCTGAGCTCCTGGCACGGGCAGCCCGGCTTGTCCCCGTCCCTGCCTCGAGGGCAGGGTACCCAGCACACCCAGCCCGGGGCTGTGCCTGTGACACTGGGCTCTGCCACAGCCGGGGCTTGCCCAAAAGCTGAGCCCCACCTCTGGAACACCTGGCAGCTGGGTTTGGGCTGTCCATGCAGGTC